TACCTCCCTTTTCTCCTTCTCTCCTTTTCTATATCTTCCTCCGCTTGTTTTCCTCTTCATCCTTGCACGTTATTTTTGCTCATATGTTTCTTTGGGCAGTTCTGATGGACACTAAGAGCAACACAACTGCAATCACCTTAAAAGTGAACATTGTCTTCCTTCAGATTTTATCCTCCACACCTCATCTGCATTTTAACCCCGTTAGGTTTGACTGTTTTGCTATTCATGTTGCTCTCTCCATCTCTCTCTCTCCCACTCAGGGCTCTTCCTCCCTTCCTCCGAACCCCCCTCTATACCTCCTCCCCCCCTCTCTTCACTGCTCTAAAAGCTAGCAGCGAACAAGGAGCCATTCAGAGCTAATTTGAGCTTATTTGACTGATTTATTTCAGCGGAGATTGCCTGTGGGTTGTGGTGTTGAGTAGTCATTAATTACGAGTGCTTCAGCCGCCATGCTAAATCAGCCAGGTCTTCTTAGCGACAGCAAAAAGCATGGATTTTTAGACATCATTCAAACAACCTAAAACAACCCATATTTAAATGGTGCCACACTAACACTTGTCCCCTTTCTCTCCTCAGTGCCCAGCGAGCCCCCACAGAACGTGCGAGCCATCTCTGTGACGTCGGACGAGGCGGTGATCACATGGGCCGAGCCTCCACGGCTGACACTGCACGGTGTGCTGAAAGGCTACCGGGTTGTGTTCTGGTCCCTCTTCCCTGACGGAGGTGGGTGCTGTGGGGGCCAGGCCCAGTGGCCAATGCAGAGTAATTATCACCTATCTCATTCTAAAACTATCCCCGCCCTCCCTCCCACCCACCACCTGCATACCTACCTACCTGTCAGTGTTGTGCGTCAGAAAGTGTTAATGTGTGTCCACTTTCTCATGAAGCACTTTCTCCGTTCCTTTGTATCGCTGAATTTGTCCACGTTTGCCCTTGTTTCTTTTCGTAATAGATTGTCAAGTCTGTTGTTGCTCCCTGAGATTAGAGTGCTGTAGTTGTGTGTTTTTGCTTCTATGAATGTGTCATAGACGTTCATATTCAACTCATTTGCAGTGTTTTGTTGGAAATGACTTACAAAAATCTACAATCATTTCTTATTCTAAGTATCTTTAGTAACCCATAAAAAAATGTGGGACACAGCTCACAAATCCCAGTGTGTGCTTTAACATGCTTTCTGTAGCTTCTCTACTGCTGCCTTGTAATCCAGGCCATAATCACATTTCCTTCAAAACATTTTTATCAAACAAAGAGTTGGTCTGTGTTGCCTGTCCGCCACCACCAGTGCTCTCTGAAACAAAAGTCCTCTTCCATTAGAATGGGGGGAGATGCAGAACATCACCACGACCCGTGAGCAGGTGGAGCTGCGAGGGTTGGAGAAGTTCACCAACTACAGTGTTCAGGTGCTGGCCTACACGCAAGCTGGAGACGGGGTCCGCAGCAACGTGCTGTATATCCAAACACGCGAGGACCGTAAGTTTACACATTCAAATGTATTCATTCATGTATTTCAGAGGGTTATTTGGTGTGAGGGTTAGGGAGATGGAAGGGGGAAAGATTAAAAAAGGGTGCTGGGCTCCATCTCAAACCCATGACAAAAGCTCATTTATGCCGGGAACCTCCATTAGCAGTGTTAATGAGAATTAAGAGGCTTTGGCCCTCGGCTCAGGGCTGAGGGAGGCTGGAGGAAGACACCGCAGGGCAGGGAGGGGTGTTCATTAGGACCATACAACATCCAGGAGTCAGCCATCAGCCCGGGCCTGCGTCTTTTTCCACCAGCCCCCTTGCCATAGGCCTAAGGATTAACTCCTCTTGGATTAGAGAGAATTAATTTTGTGCTTACACCATTGGAGGCGGGATTACAGCCAGATCCGTGTCTCTTTATAGAGGAGGGGGCGGAGGAGGGGGCCCCGGGGTTGAAGATGGAGAGATAGGAAGGTGATCATACAGCCTTTCCTCGTCTGACAAAAAGACAACATAGAAATGTCACAGCTGAAAAGTGTATTAGCGCTGCACCGTGACATCCCGTCCTCTGATTGGCACAGTGGTGCATAATATATTCATGTAGGTGGGGCTGTTCACTCCACACCATTGTGCCCCTCTTCCTCATCAACACAGGGGCTGTGCTGGCTGTGCGGCAGACTGTCAGCAAATTTTGGGCAGATTTTGGGCACCAGATGGGACTTAACTCTCCCTCCTCCCACCGCCACTCCTACTCTGACATGGAGGTCCAGTTATGATAATGATGACTGCCTACTTTTACTACCCCTCCCCGTCACCACACCACCATCATCTATCCCCCAGGAACTGCACCTATCATTCTCGCCATCCTCTCATCTCCGCCTCCCTTTTATACAAATGTGCCTCGCTTCGTGTATCCTTTCAGAGTCTGTGTTGTTTTTATCGCCGCTCGTGTGATGTACAGGGTGAAGGAGTACGAGGGCTAGTTCAATGATCAAGGGGCCTCACATACAAGAAAATTGGGGGGGATGGCTTTACAGGGCTCCTTCTTTAGATCCCAGATGAGGCCCACTTTTAGACACAAGTTATATTTATGTGGGGATTGAAAAGACTTGACACTGCGAACCTCATACTGAGAAGCCAATGTGACAAAAGCACCTTTAAAGGAATCCAGCACCCTGATGTGTTTTTTAGTGAAGTGTGCATTCATTTTAAACCCTGTTTGCGCCTTTAGCTTGTAATAAGAGTATTACGTGGTGTCCAGTGTTGAGCTGAAGTGGCCAGCAGAGGATCAGACACTAGTACTGTCTAATCTGTTTGTGGGTTGGAGAGTTAAGAGAATGCTGGGTGTCACAGAGTCAGAAACGCTGACCAATGTCTGAATGAACATATGTCACGGCCGTCCACCCAAAGGGAGTTCTTCCAAGTCCTCCCAGAGCGGCTTAGTGCAGGATAAGACCACCAATCTGAAAACAAGCCTGCTCACTTTAATAGGCATCCGACACCCAGCATGTGTGTGTACAAAACACACACACAAGCACATACATATATTCATCCCCTCCATGCTGATGTTCCTATGTTTTGTTTTTGTCTAGTTCCTGGTCCACCGGCTGGAATTAAGGCAGTTCCCTCGTCTCCAAGTAGCGTGGTTGTGTCCTGGTTACCACCCCACAAACCAAATGGTGTAATCCGCAAGTACACCATCTACTGCTCCAGTCCAGGTTCTGGACAGCCAGTAAGTCTCTGCTCTGTGGGTGCGACTCATAAACGACCAGTAGAAAATGTCTCAGGTGATTGAGAAGCAAAGAATTTATGAACTTGATAAAAATCAACCAATTAAAACAACTGATTTGTAACCACTCCTATTAATTGAACCTGTGTGTGTGCATGTGCGTGTGTGTCTCTTTCACTGTGTTTGCACCATCGCTTTATTTCCTGCCCTCCCAGATGAACAGATGAGGTTGTCTTGGCAACGTGATGAGACGTAGATATGCAAATGAGGGAGAGAGCAAGCTCACACATGCACACTGCCGCATCAGAAACACACACACAGACACACAGACTCACACACAGACAGATATCACATTTCAATATCTTCTATTTATACACATGTGCGTGGCATTTCAGTTGTGGTTGGATCATGTTCGCCACAAAAACCAGCGCACGGTGAAATCTGATATCAGGCTAGAATCTCACTTTCTTATTATTCACAAATACTCCTCCCTCTCTGTGCATGAGTGCCATGTAAATGAGCACAGGCAGGGAGGAGAGAGGGAGGGGGAGGAGGGAGGAAAGGAGGTTGAGACAGAGAGAAAGAGAGAGAGAGAGAGAGACACCATTAGAGGTACAGAGAGACCGAGGGGAAATTAGAGAAAAAGAGAGGGATGAGGGGAGAGGTAGAGGGGGAGAGAGAGTGAGAGACAGGCAGGGGGAAAGGGAGGAGCAGAGGAGGGTATCAGTCACATCGAGATGAGAGTGCTTTTGTCCGTCTTTTCATTATCTCCCTGTATCACTCCCTGGATCACCACAACACCACCGCTATGTTGGAGGAATGTTTGAATGCACCCCTCCACACACACACACACACACACACACACACACACACACACACACACACACACACACACACAAATCCTTCCCCCGCCCTCCTACTGTCCCTCCATCCTCTCCTCTTCACTGAGCGAGACAGGGGGATAGGAAAAGGGGGAAAAGCAAATGGTGAAGGAACTGGAGATGAACATTGTGAGATGAACAGATTAAAGAAATAACGGAGGCTCGACTTGAGAGAAAACAATGTTTTTGTGCGTCTGTTGGAGTGTGTGTGTATATGTGTGTGTTTGTGTGTGCATATGTGAACATCTTGTGCTTGTTATAACAAATATTCAGGAACAGTATTACAGCCACAATTGCTTTTTTTTTAAACCAGTAAATATATCTGCCTGTGTGAGGTGAAATATTTAAATTAATGGACTTTATTTGGAATTTATAATTATTATTGTTCCAAATACCTAGAAACGAAGCTTTCAATCTGGAAGCCTTTTTCCCCATTTTATTATCTTTTTATTTCATAGATTTCTCAATTATTTGCTTAAACACATTTTCTGGCAATATTAAAATTCTCAAAATATTATATGCAATTTAATTTAAACCTTGTTTCATAAGTCCTGCAAAGGCGGGTGTGTTCTCAGAAATATTTACTTGCAAAACAAAGGTAAATAAATACAAATACAAATCTCTATCTCTAAAATGACATATATTTTATCAGTTTCAATCAAGACAATGAAAATATTCAACCTAATATTTCTCCGCTGCTTCAGGAATACCACCACAAATCAACTAAATTACACATTTAGTTTTTAAAGCATCAAGTTCACAGGTAAATCTGTATTAAGAAATTTGGAGTAAACTAAAACACACCATCCATAGTTATAAAAAAAGGCATCCAATCTACTTTTCTCATGCAGATGCAAAAAAATTCAGGCTACATGAATACATGTCATTGTTACACATGGAATATTTTAGATCAACCAGAGCAGCAACACATTACTAAAAAAGACTCTTCAATGGCTAAAATATGATTATAAAAAATCATAAAGTAAAACATTTGAAAAAAAGAGACACATTTACGAACATATATTATGTATAGATAGAGAAAAAGAGAAAGCTATTCTAATCATGCATCTCTGGTGTAAGTGATATGAAATACTTGTGCTGAACACAATTTTTGTCTTTAACCACAAAAGACAAATGTGTTGATCAGTTTTAAGATTTAAAATAAAAGGATGGCAAAGACGTTTTTTGAATGTCCTCCTGCATATTGGGATGTTGCTAAAAAAATCCGTTAACCTTCAGATCTTTATTGTGTCCAGATGCTGACACGTCTCTGAACAACTGTACACTTAATGCATTTTTCATGTAAGACAATTTAGTATGTCGTAAAACACAGGTAACAATGATCAAATGAACAATACCTGGAATATGTTAAGCTGCATCAGTTTCAGGGTCCTGGTGTCATTCCTGCTGACTCAGTGTCATGGTTCACTGAGACACTAGATCATTATGAGTTAATGTTGTAACAACACATGCTTTTTCCATTAAAAAAAAGCTGTGACAAAAGGCACAGTGGCAGAATGTCGACTTCTTTACTATAAAAGACATATTTGACCTGTAACACTTCTTCAGTCTGCAGGTTCTTGTACCCGAGCCGCCACCAGTTGGGTCATGTCACTTATCAAGGTTTGCTAACACGACCTCGCGTGCTCTCTTGTCGCAGGCGCCGAGCGAGTACGAGGCCAACCCCGAGATGCTCTTCTACCGCATCACACACCTCAGCCGCGGTAAACAATACCACATCTGGGCTGCAGCCGTGACAACTGCCGGTCGTGGGAACATCAGCTCAAAGGTCACGGTGGAGCCTGCTGGGAAAGGTGGGTCCTCCCGGCGAGCCCGCAGTGTAGAGATGTCTGTAAAGGTTAAGCGAGGGAGCTCTGTAAAGATGGCAGTGAAACAGCAACATGATGCCCTGTGCATAGATCACTTTCATCACTCTCTTTCCTCCTCCCTCTGTCTGCGCTCTCCGCTATTGATTGACAGGCGTAGTATTGATTGAGTAGCGGCTATGTGGCAAGAAACGCTGTTGTTAATTATGTGGTGATGAACAGGGCCTATCCAGTAAAATGACCCTTGGGGAGAGTAGTAGCAGGTGAGAATCAATAGAGGGAGGATCTATGGAGAAAAGATGGACTGAGAGGCTGGAGGAGGGGCTTTGATAAAACACCGCTCCACAGCTTTTTACTCCTTCAGCAGTGAGTAAAGGCCTTTTCCCCTTGGGGCAAACCAGGTCACTTATTCAGCACTGAGTGGCAGGTAGACAAGGAGGAAAGACATCAATGTGATTTTTGGTTTATCTCTCATCATCTGAGTGAGAGGGTGTGCCCTTTAGATTAATTGTTTCATTTTTGTTTTGGTTTTCTTTTTATGAGCAGTCCCGGCTAAGATCCTGTCCTTCGGTGGCACAGTGACCACACCCTGGATGAAGGAAGTGCGTCTGCCCTGCAGCTCCGTGGGAGAACCCGCCCCCACGATTAAATGGACCAAAGACAGGTCGGAGTTCATCACATACCGTTTACATGTCAGCATCATGACTCATATACACAGATCTGCTGCTTGTGAACGCAAGACAACTGCAACTTACTCCAGGATGAGACTGTTAACATTTTTCCATCTGTATCCATCAGTGAGGACTCTGCCATTCCGGTGACAGCTGACAGCCAGCGGCAGATCCTATCCAATGGCACACTGGTGCTGCGTTCAGTCAAAGCAGAGGATTCTGGGTACTACACCTGTACAGCCACTAACACGCTGGGCTTTGACACCATCATAGTCAATCTTGTGGTGCAAGGTGAGACGAAACAGAGGAGGTATTAGAGTGGTATTGATTTGTGGAAAACATGTTCTTTGTGATATTCAATCTGTGCCAAGAAGGTTATGTTTGTTTGTTTGCTTGTTAGTTTGTTAGAAAGATTAAGCAAAAAATTACTTTGATCACTGAAAGACAAAGAACAAATCAATGTTTGGTTGCAGATCAGGATCAAGGGATCCAGGAATGTTTTATCATTAAGACATTGTGAGAGAGAGCATTTTGAAATAGTCGCAGATCTCCCAGGGAATGATGGATTGATCTTGATGAAATTCTTGATGATTTTTTTGACATTATTTGCAAAATTCTCAAGAAATAAAGCAGAGATCTTAATGAAACAAATCATCAATTTGGAGCAGCTTAATTGAATTTGAAGACTCTTAGGTCCTGGCGGAGTGTGTGTCCTACTGAGTACCATTCTAGATATGCTCTGGTGTTGAGACACTGTCTGTGTTTGTGTAAACCCAGTTCCTCCGGACCAGCCTCGTCTGACAGTCTCCACCACCTCCACCTCCTCCATCACCCTGGCTTGGATCCCGGGGGACAATGGAGGAAGCTCCATCAGAGGTACGCTCGGAGAAACGTACAGCTCCATCATGACTGTGTTTGTGACAGATCATTCACCCTCTTGCTTTTAGTTCTACTAATGCTGCATACATCAGTGTAAACAATGAGCTTAATGTTTCTGGGTAAGAGGAAGGCAAATTAGTGCTGTTTGAAGGTGTTTGTTGCCCCCTGGTGTCTGACAGTTGTAGCAGCAGCAAGTCCTTAATGCTTGTTTTAAAGTACTTGGGTTTGACGTGAAGCTGTGCCTGTGCGGCTGCAGGGTTTGTGCTGCAGTATTCTGTGGACAACACAGAGGAATGGAGGGATGTGTTCATCAGCTCCAGCGAGCGCTCCTTCAGGCTGGACAATCTGCGCTGCGGAACCTGGTACAAGGTCAAGCTAGCCGCCAAGAACAGCGTGGGCTCAGGGCGCATCAGTGAGATCATCGAGGCCAAGACCCATGGAAGAGGTGAGTGGTGGGAAAAGCAAAAATAGTGTTGAAACAAGTGAAAAGGGATTAAACAGACTTTAGGGCCTCAAAAAAGTTATATTTATTGTTTTCAATTTATTAAAAATGAATATATCTGTATCAGAATCTTATTCCATGATTTTGTGTTCATGCATTCTATTTTATTTATTTTCATATTTAGGTTTAAGGGAAATATTTTAGGCAATAATTGTCCCTTGCAGTTCATTTATCATAGACATTGAAGTAAAGGCCCAGTTGTAGTGAAATAATGAAAAAGATGCTAATTGAAGGAATGTGAAGGTTTTTCCTGTTTATTTTATTTTGGTTAAATTGAATTAAATCACATAATTTCTCCAAAAATTAGAAAGCCCCAAAATGGCCCTGCAGTGTTGCTGTAATAAAAAAATTAGGAAATAATCTGAATCAATATGCAGTGAGTTGAGAATCTGAGTTGTTCTCAATGTCCTCAAGTCCCATTACATATTAAAAACCTAAAAAATCTTCACTTTGACTAAGATCTTGAATAAAATCGTATGTATAGTATGATAATCCCCTATGTTGCTATGTGGCCTCATCCTGTTTGTCTGTGTCTTTGTCCTCTTTCTCTATAGAGCCGGTGTTTAACAAGGACCAGCCGTTGCTCACCCACATCAACTCCACACATGCAGGGCTCAACCTGCAGGGCTGGACCAGCGGTGGGTGCCCCATCACCGACATGATGCTGGACTTCAGACCCAAAGGCACCTGGGCCTGGCAGAGCCTCAAGGCCAACTCCACCACGCAGCTCTTCCTCAGCGAGCTGCGGGAGGCCACGTGGTACGAGCTCAAAATGAAGGCCTGCAACAGCGCAGGGTGCGGCAACCAGAGCTCCCAGTTTGCCACCACCGACTACGATGGCAGTGAGTTGCATCCCACATCCATCACTCTTCAGTCATCTCTTCCTTTCGCACTAACCTTTCTATACTAAGTCTTTTTCTTCTCCTTCTCTCCATAGGTACAATCCCCCCCATTAAATCAGCTCGTGGTGAGGGCGATGATGTGAAAAAGCTCTTCTCCATTGGCTCTCCCGTCATCCTGGTTACTCTGGGTGTTGCGTTGCTCTTCATTATCCGCAAGAAACGCAAGGAGAAGAGGCTTAAACGTCTCAGGGGTGAGAGGAAGGAAAAGAGAGAGATCAGTGTTATTGTGTTTAATGAATTAACATAGCATAGAGTGACAAGTTGAAACGCTTATCTTCACAACCAACCCTAATCTAATTAAGATATTGTCTTCCTACAGATGCCAAGAGCCTCGCTGAGATGCTTATCAGGTAAGAGCCAGCCTATATGGGCACGGTGTTCATTTTTGAAAACCTTTATGGAAGAAATCGTTTGATTAAGATTACCAATGTGTCATTTCCTTGTGTGTGTGTGTGTGTGCAGCAAGAACAATCGCAGCATAGACACTCCTGTGAAGGGCCCTCCTCAAGGACCGAGGCTCCACATCGACATCCCCCGTGTTCAGCTACTCATCGAGGACAAGGAAGGCATCAAACAGATAGGCACGTGACTCCATATCAACAACAACACAAATATATATAGAGATTTTTTGTAACTTATGTTGGATAGTTCACTTTTTTTTGTAAAGCTATTGTGTTTTCTCATTTCTTGACTGCAACAGGGGAGGACAAGGCAGCGGTGCCAGTGACAGACACAGAGTTCAGCCAATCAGTGAATCCACAGAACTTCTGCACAGGCGTGTCACTGCACCACCAAGCCCTCATCCAGAATTCAGGGCCTTTGATTGACATGTCAGACATCCGTCCAGGCACAAGTGAGTTCTGTTTTTTCTTTTTAAGTTAAGTGTACACCCACTTGACAATGATGAGTCAGTTAAAGATTTGTTCCTCCGTTCTCCCTGACAATCAATACATACACACCGTCACTGTGTTACAAAGCAGTTCTCTGATCACTGTGACCTCTCTCAGACCCAGTGTCCAGGAAGAGCATAAAATCAGCCCACAGCTCCCGCAACAGATACTCCAGCCAGTGGACGCTGAGCCGGCCAAGTCAGAGCCAGTCGACGGCCTCTGCACGAACTCTGACCTCGGACTGGCGAACGATGGGCTCTCACGGCATCACCGCAACGGAGAGTGACAGCTACAGCGCCAGCCTCTCCCAAGACACAGGTGGGTCAAGCCCGGGCTCTACAACTACCACAAAGACACTGCCACTCAATGCGCTACTGTTTTTATCTTACTTTTAGTCTAACCCACCAAAATACAGTTCAGGCAGCACTAATGTCAAATTTCTTATCACCGTAGAGGCATTCTCACAGGGAAGACGCCATAACATGTATTTTAAAATTACAGAATTAAAGGATGGACAAAATACACAGTACTCGTGTTTAACTAATGTTAACTAAAAATGCATCCGATATCTTTGTTTTATGTTGTGTTCAGTGGTTCTTCTTAAATGTGACTTACATAGGTTCTTATCAGATGCAGCAAGGCTTTTAAATAAATAAATAACAGCAGAAAAATTTCACCACAATTATATCTTCTCTTTTTTTTTTTACAGATAAGGGTCGCAACAGCATGGTGTCAACTGAGAGCGCCTCCTCCACCTATGAGGAGCTGGCGAGGGCCTACGAGCACGCCAAGCTGGAGGAGCACCTGCAGCATGCCAAGTTCACCATCACAGAGTGCTTCATCTCCGACAGCTCATCTGACCAAATGACCACAGGAACCAACGACCCAGCGGACAGCATGACCTCCCTCAGCACGCCGTCTGAACCGGGCATCTGCCGCTTCACCGCCTCGCCACCCAAACCGCAGGACTACGACCGTGGTAAAAATGTGGCTGTGCCCATTCCCCACCGCGCCAACAAAAGTAAGTATGGCAGATGAGGGTCCTGCAGGGACAGTACCTATGATAATACATTTTGCATTCAGTTCGTATGTACAATTGACTTGTTTCATTTAAAACATACAGTGTAGATTGAAGATTCTTAGTTTTTGCATTGAGACCCTGCAATAGATTTTAAAGTAGGACATTTTATTTACTGTGAAATTTTTTAGGATATAAGTAAAATCTATTGGGCCAAAATGTGATCCGAATGCGGCTCCAGAGGTGGATATCAGATATCACACTGTTTACCCCGGAAATTGTTTTGTGGACTCAAGCACAACACCTCCATCAGCGTAATGTTAAGTAGATCATGAGTGAATTTTCATATTTGAGTGAACTATCCCTTTCAGGCAAGTGTCTTTGCTGTTTATCATAAAAATTCCAATTCAAAACACAACCTCAAAATCATGAGTTATAATGTAGTAACAAAAGCTGAGGATGTATTCTTTAGTCAGGGTTTGAAAATCGTCATTCAGTTCAAAAGTCAAATCTCAAATGACCTCACTCTATTGAACTTGACCTGACTGTTTTCATTCCTTCTCCAGGTGAATTCTGCAACCTTCCCCTCTACATGAAGACAGACCCATTCTTCCGCAAGCAAGGGGAGCTGCACGACCCATGCCCGGCTGTGCCTCCGCGGGAAGCCTCGATCCGCAGCCTGACGCAGCGGGCGTATCACACCCAGGGCCGTCACAAAACTCTGGACCCTGCCAAGCAGCAGGCCCTGACGCTGGGCCACTCTGGGCTGGGCAGCTTGGGTTCGAGCTTGGGCACCGCCACCTTGCCCCAAAGGACTCTCACCATGCCCAGCTCCAACACCGCAGCAACAGCTTCCACTTCCAGCACAGGCAGCAACCCCACCAACAGTAACAAGGTGGGGGGCTCCAGAGACTCGCTGCTTGAGAGTAGTTCCTCTGCACTGGGGAGACTGCAGAAACAGAGTGTGGGGGCCTACTCCAAGTCATACACACTGGTGTAGTCCATTCTCTTGCACAGACTTGCACTGCTGTCCCACTCCTCAGCCAGCCCCACCCTGGCACTCTTCAGTCTGGGTCAGAAAGGGCATGCAACCATCTTTCTTCACACCCAGCTAATGGTGAACTGCCCAGCACCCTGTCTAGTTTTCCTCGGGATAGGTGCTCCCCCAGACAGAGACCCAGCTAACCCTACTTTTCATGCTTACCTGGGACTCTGTATAAGAACTACTAACTCCAACTAACAGTTCCAGCCGGCTGGTGCTCAGCTCCGCGCAGTTCTCACAGGAGCTGCACAGCAAAAAAAAAAAAAAAAAAAAAAAAAAAAACAGGAAGCGATTCTGTGGTCATTTGGACATTTTGACTATAACTGAGCTTAAAGCTCTGTGTTTATGATGATGAAGACTACAATAGCCAGTATGAAGCTGTGTGGCCACCCTGTCTCTCACGCACACACATGCTGTCCTCCATAGTTTGAGTATTATTGTCAATTTGCAGGACGTCCCGTTAAGTTCCCTATTCTTACTGTATCTTTCACCCTCTATGTGTCTCTTTAAGTCCCAAATATCTATTGGCAGATTCAATTCCAAAAGAAATGATTCAGGTTCCCTTCCAAGAAAGAAAAAAACACTTCCATCACTTCATGTGACAGAATCTCTCCAGCTGAACAGTGTCGACGACTCAAACGAACCAGCTATGATTATTCACATTACAAATAGAGAATATTTGGTAATATAAAGAATTTACATATATATTTCTATGTAGGTATATTATTGACGTTTACGTTAAATAATGACAAAGTATAAATTGTATGTGCCACAATAGTGTACATACAGAAATTAAATGTTAATGTCAAATTTAAGACCGAGACAATCGCTCAATCATAAAATTTTAAGAAGAGAAATTTAAAGAAGGTTTGACTAAAGAAAGAAAAAAGGTTTAGTGTATATACAGGAACGTCTGTATATTACTTGTATGTAGGCCGACTATGAGAAGTGTCCCATGATGAGATGGGAAAAAGCATGAAAGGCTACTTGTAGTTTCAGTTCCTGAAAAGGGAAAAAACTGACTGGTTGAACAGATTATAACCTCCCCGGTTTGCAACGCCTACTTTACTGTGTGTGTTCGGTGGAAACAATCACGACAGAAAGCCTCCTCATCGGGACTGTCTGCAGTCTGATGGGTTGGTAAATACATGTACGTTCAGAAACCAAATAATCAGTGTTAAAGAAGATCCCTAAAAAGGTTTTATGTTTATGTTGCTAGTAGCTGGAGGCGAGTATTAAAGCCTCTGTACTGAAAGTCACAGAGATACTAACATATTCAGCTTTTCAGAGAAAAGAGATAAATAGCTAAAGGAATCCCAGTTATGATGTGAATGAAAAATAATATAATAAGAAGAAGTTCTATGTTCAGGGAGTTCATTTAAAAAAAGAAAATGATATAATGTTCACTCAATTGATATCTTTGTTGTTGCCCTGTCTGAAGTACTGTATACAGTATGTCCCAGTTTATTTACCACCACACCCCTCCATTAATGTACGTTCACACAAGATCCTATTGGGATGTTTTTTCAAGCATTGCCATGATAGTGTTTTGTGGTTTGTATTTTTTTATTTGTTTGTTTTGTTTGTCCAGGGGAGGGTCGTATCTGTCAGTCTGTTGATTTTTGATTTGTAATATTCCTTTTAAATTTAATTTGGGATTTCGACAAAAATGTTTGATTCCAGAGGCCAAACAGTACTGAGGTATGTGGCCTGTGACTAAAACCAGTTCAGCCAAGTGAAATCAGGGACTCGTAGCTCTTTTAGTCACACAAACTACTATTGTATTGTGTATATACTGGACTGGAGGTGGTCTGTAAACCTGAAGCATTCATACTCCCGTCCATTTCCCCTGCTCAGATAAATTAAAGTAAAAAGTCACCACCCCTAAACATAAAGATCCATCATCTCTACCTTTGTCAGTGTTGTTTATAGATTAAGTCTTGTACATAAAACACAGTTTTGTATGAAGAGCTATTTTCGTCAGAATAAATCAGGGGACACATCAGGGTTGAATGCCCCAATTTCAAAATTGAAATAGTATCAAAAATAAAATATTTTACTTCTGAAATGGGCAAAAAAAAACATTTTTCTTTCCCTTTATGTTTTTTATACTAATTTGTTGAATTTTTATTCTTTTTTAAAGGTCTTTTGATGTTGTCATTTGTCCTATTTACTTTTTTTATTATCATTATTTTGTATTTTGTTCATCCTCAGAAAAGTCATTGCATGCTTGCTAAAAGGGAAAAATTGAGAGAAAAAATGTATGAAAATCAAAAGCTAAAAAAAATGTTGAGGGTATCCCAAACATTTGTTTGAGTTGCTTGTTATAGCAATTGCTTGTGTTCAAAAGTACATTTTCTATGAAAAGAAAGCAAAACTAAAAAGATCATTCTAACACCTTGTGCAATAAAGCTATCTTTCATACGTCACGGCTTCTGTCATTCTCAGGGCCTTTGATTGATATGTCACACATCCGGGCACGAGTTGTGTTTCCCTCCTCATCTGTATCATTCCATATTCCTCAGTCCCCCAGAAGGAGCTGAAACTGTCAGTTGATCAATCGATTAGAATAGAAGAAAATGAATGACCAGCTTCACAAATATCAATATTTGTTTGTTTCAAAGTTTTCTATGGTAGTAAACTCACAATTTTAGAGTTTCTTTTGCTGATTAATACGGCATATTTTAAAATTTTCGGATATTTTATATATTGATTATTTGAAAAAATAATTGTCAGAGGTACTGGTAATGAATTAAGCAGTTATATAATAATTCGATATTGTATAATTCAATATACAAAAGGCAGAGGACCTCAGCAAGGCCACAAAATGGTGGAGCCAACGTTTTGCTTTAGTGGTGTTGATATGAAATATCAAATCTGTGGTTAGTCAAATGTGGATAGAACTAGATAGAACTGCCCTGTAGTCTTTTGCGTAATATAAGTAGATGTCGATGACAACATAACCTCCTTGGCAGCAATAAAAAAGTAAATGACAACTCTTGACTGAAAAAACACCTGGAAAAGCACTGAGCATCACAGAATGATAATAGTGAGAATATTTGAAGGACAATTTCTCCAGCACTCCTGAAACTTATTACATGTTTGCAGCAATGTAATGGATGTAATAGCGCACACCCTGTCAGTCAACACGTCACTGGAGGTAGCTCTGGTGTCTGCTCCCTGTACCACGCCATCCTGCACCAACACCATGCGTCAAACATTTATTACTAATATGAAAAAAAACTGATTACAGAAACAGAGATGAGTGAACCTGTGGCTTTTCTGGACCCCTGGGAGTCTAATCCAGTCTTGGCAGCAGAGAGAGGGCGCACTCCTTCAGATTTTGGCTTGGTATCAATGATGCATCATGGAGGAGCCTTGAGAGAGGTTGAATCTGAAATCTGAAGTGTGAAGACTGGACCAAGCATAAAGTTATTAAAACATGACATGAGATACATGAGAATCCACTCTCGGGAACTGTCACAGCTCTACATGAAAGCAACCACAAGATGGCATCATATCATTATACTGTCTGACCCTCTCCACACTAAGTGAACAGATACTGTAAGGGAATTGTTCCACCAAAAGAGAGCAGCGGCTCATGACGGATTTGTTGTGAATAATTGATGCTTTTCAGAGTCACCTGCACCTGTGCATGCAACATACTACAGCTTCCAGTTACGACAGCACAGCTCTTTCATTTCATTGTTTATTGTGTAGAATGACCTTATTAAGCAGAGGGACACTTCATGGATAGATTTACATAGCTTGATATTTAAATTTGATTATTTGTGGAGTGAATATGCTGCACACATTACATTTCAAAAGTGCTACATTTAAGCTTTGCTGTATTGGTTCAACAGCCTGTCAGTCAGGAAATATAGTTGAAACCCCACTCCACTATTGCACAGTGAAAAATGCAGATACTTAAAAGTACAGTGAACTTTCAAAACAATTGCCTCCCCTCCACAGTGCTGATATTTAACCAACACATTTGTAAGATTGATTTCATTCCCTAGGTCCCACAGTGGTGACAAAAGTAAGAAAAGCTTGAAAATATTCATCAGAAAATACATTTTAAAAAGTAGAATGGCACTAAGGCGAGCGCATACGTCCACCAAGGTCCAACAGTCCTCTTATGACACCACATTTAAATTTACTACATCCAGTGCACCAAATTGCACAAATATCAGTTCCCTAAACATAGCAGATTTTTTTTTCATCAAGAAACCATTAATTAGGTTAGTAGGAAAATCAATGAAAAGGTTAAAAAAAAAAAAACTATCTTGCAGTTTTAAAGAAGTGAAAAAACTAATTCTGGATCCACACCAAACTCAGTTCACGTATTGTGACAGTAATGGTCTGCGGTACCTCCCAAACTGTGAAAGAATGAATGAAAGACAAACTCATGCACCACAAGGAAGCTGAGGACAGTTTTACAAGATTTAATTTATTAACTATTATACAGTTCACATAAGGCCTTCATCTTCAAACACTTTTCTCAGTCAGACAAATTCCATGGTTTGCTCTTGGTGTACAGTACATAAACTTTCACGTTTCAGCTATTTCACTTCAGTATTTTGTTTCATTCTTGTACTGATTTCATGTTTTTAAAACAGGAAGAGGCTTTCATCCATCTCCCTCGGTGTGTTTTTAAATCATGCACTAAACTTAAGTGGCCTTGAACCATTCACAAAAATGGTAAAAATGGACTTTCAATCATTGAAATACACACTAGAAATGTTTTCTACCATTGACTAAAGGGTGGCGTGCCCCAACATACAAATAAACAACCATTATAGAGTAGTATGCACTCACTTTTTGTTTGTCGAGCGGCAGATTTGCCCAGTTTGTATCAGAAGTCAGGTGATGCCGTAAGGTAATATACTCCCAAAGAATCGTGTTATGGTGGGACAGCTGCTTGGTTAGCCAGTCGTGATGTTACAGCTAACAGCTCTGAGGCAGTTTGAGAAAAACCCTCAGTTTAGTCTGATAAACATTTACAATGACTGACTGACTTCCAACAGCATTGCGATTCCAAAAGTACCAGAAGTGATGATCTCAAGCAGCCAACGATCAAACTAATCTGGTCATTGTTGCAACTATGATCCATAACAGAGCCACAATCATCGGGAACGTGTGTCGGGTGTTCAAGCTTTTACTCAATCCTGTTGGAAAGACGGTGCTTCCTCTTATTAAGTGTAATGTTTATATTCATCAGGTCTTCTTTGACAGTGCTACCTCTTAAAATGTGCTGCTTTTTTTCATGAGAATCTGTCAGCACAAAACCAATTCACTAGAGCAGGTAAACGGCCAGCGGTGCTTCCTGAACGCGTCTCGTTCACAAATATTTAACGTCTACTGGTCATTGTATTGTATAGCAGGACTAGCGGTAACAGTGCGTTGAGAATACTAAACCTTCCGAGTTAAAGGTCCTTAATATTAGATGAATACAAAGAGCTGGGTTTGATGGACAGCCATAGCAACACATCCAGCAACCTATCATGTTTCAAGCGTTTGGTTTCCATAGACAGCGGTTGGTAATGTAGAGTTGTGTTATGGTATGATTAGGTTACACATTCAAAATTGCAAAGATTTCTCCTTCACTTGACTGTTGATGTCTGATATGATAATGATCTAAACCAAACTTCCCTAAACATCCACTCTGATCAACTAACAGCTAGAAAGAGGACAAACTCTAAAAAAACTATTTTTCACATGGCTGGATGAATGAGGAAGAGAAGCTGATCCAGATTTCCCATCAACCTAGAATGGGACCTCTGGATCGACTTTAAGAACGCAAGTTTTTACAAAAGGATCTTGTTTCACAATCCTGCACTGATGCCACACTCAACCACTGAACAAACAATATTGACAAATAATCAATGTGGCATTTCATCAAATGTAAAACTACACTATCAAAAAGTGCTTCAGATAAGTTTGTGGATACAAAAACAAGTTGGATGTAAACAAAGTTTGATCTACCAGAGCTCAGAAGAAGCAATGGGTATGGCTGTTTGAGCTGTGAATTAAAAACACAGAAGAAAACAGTATGTCAACCAAAAAAATAAACCCTTTAGAGGGGAAAAACAACAGTGATCATTAAAGTGCATCCCTGGATGTGTACCTACCCCTTCCCTTCCCTCCCCATGCTGACCCCTCAGGTAGAGTCAATGAGATAAGCCCCAAAGGCAGACAGAGGAACCTCTGCTTATTGGGGCACACTGCTGCCTAAAGGACCTACAGAGGAACAGTCTATMMATCCAGTGGCAGTACTTTCATGAGAAAAAAACTAAAACAGTTATACACAGATAAAAACATGGTGGACACAAATCATCCTTCCAGCTTGGCATAGAGGTTTCTATTTCTTGGTGGGAGTAGGATAAGTAGTGGCTGTTGACAGAAGAGAGGCTTGCTGTGACAGTGACCTCTGTCCTCCACTTCTGCTCTAATGTCAAATTCCAGGCTCTGAGGGACTCGGAGGGCAGAGGGAGAGTCACTGCTAATGGCGGCTGGCCCTGATGCACACGAGTATGGACACAAATGGCAGGTTGGAGAAGCTTCTCAGACACTTTACTATCTCCGCTCTTCATATTCGGACGTTGTCGTGATCCGTCATCTTCTCAAACTGCCTTTTTTTTTTTTTTTTTTTTTTTTCTTCTTTTGTTTTTCTCTTAGTGCGTGTTAGTGATAAGGTCCAGCATCATCATGGGCACACGTGGTTTCATAGTCTCTCACAGTGTCTCTTGTTCGGCGGGGGAGTGGTGGGAGTGGGGGTGTTGGTGAAGGGGAGGGAGCAGGGACTGCAGAGGAGACTGGGGGGTGGTGGGTGGGGACTGCTGCAGGGGGCTGAAGTGTGTGGTGGTGTGGGGCGGCGAGGACCGGTAACCCGAGTAGGCAGAGCTCCCACTGAGGGTGGTGGTGGGTGAGGCGGGGAGGCCTGCCAGGCCCGTGGGGGAGTCGATGAGGGGCTGGTTGTAAAAGAAGAATGCACACTGGTGGATGAAGCTCTCGATGATTGTCTGGTAGGTGCGTGTGGCAGTCAGGGCGTCCATTGTGGAGAAGTCTGGCCTCATGAGAGTGGGCCAGAAGCAGATGGACAAGTTCTCACTGGTCATCAAGTTCAGCCTGCTCAACTGGCTCACCCTGAGAAAAGAACACACACGATCAGACTCCAATTTATTCATTCTCATAACACGGTGCAGAGACACAGGTGGGGGTCTACAACAGAAGACCAACAAATCCATGAAATTGATAAAAAAGAGCAGACAGGGAACTTACTTGTGTAAGTGGCTCACGACATATCTGAAGACATCATAATTCTCTCTGGGGAACTTCCTCAGGACATCCTTCATTGTATATAGCCTCTGTTCCCTGTCACTTATTCCTGGACACACAGAGGAAAGTCACCAATAAATCTCAGCCCTCATCATTACAGACGGTAATTTGACTGTAAATGTCTCGCTCCACCATCATCAACATTATTCCTCTCAACGCTGAAACACCTAAACCGAGAAGTAGGATGTAATGTAGCACATTTACTATGGTTACTGTACTGGTTCATATATCTGTACTTTACTTAAGTAGATTTGTGTACTTTTTACTTTTACTTGCCTACATATAATCTGCAAATATATGTACTTTCTAATCTACTTTTAAAAAGCACTGCATTACATGTTCACATTGTTTTTATTTTTATTTCTAAACGTAATCGGATAACAACAGATGCAATCAATCAGATTGGGCAGGTTAAACACTTGACCCCGCCTCCTGCAGCATCAGGAGCACTCACTGGTGAAGAAAGCCCCTTTTCCACTGGTCAGAAAACCCACTAACACCCACTAACATCTGGCTTCTGTCTGCAATGGGAGTAGATATAATCTGCATCTAGTCCCTGGTCAAATGACTCTGTTGAACATGACACGCTGAGGAGTTCATTTCCTTTTAAGTGGGTTTATCCTTGTTTAAAACAACCTGCACTTGTAAAATACTTTAATATATTTCAAAGCAAGTACTTACTTATACTCAGGTAGAGGAGTTAGAGTAGTACTTTTACTCAAGTTAAATGTTTGGGAACCTCCTCCTTCACTGCCTTAAACAGAGCAGAGCAGGTCTGCCAAAACCTTCCCTACCCTCGTCCCTCCTAAAGAAACAATCTTTTTATGTTCTAGTAGTGACCCTCCCAGCCCAGCAGTGTTTGCTTACTGAAAGCATCCAGTAGTTCCACCTGCAGAGCAGAAGGCACCAGGGGCTCAGGCAGCTCAGAGAAGAAGCTTTTGAGGCCTCCAGCCACAGTGTTTATGGAGAAGTCTTTCTCCACCAGGTCTAATCCGTGGTCTGTACGAGAAGAATGAGAGCGTTAAAGGGATCAGAGAAAATTAGCCCGTCAGTCGTAGCTGTCATCAGGACGGAAGTGGCGTGTCACTTTCCTTTGGTGACTGTTTTTGTTTTGATAAGACAGCCACATAATTACATGTCAAACAGCTGGTTGAAACAAATCTGATGAGCAACTCACCCTGTTCAAACTGTCTCTGCATGCTTTCCATCTCTGACTTGTTGCCGCTTACACGATACAAACCCTCTGTATTCAAGCCTGAGGAAAAAACAGCACAGCGGAGGAAAGGGGGGAGACGCGGGTAGGTGAGGGGGTTGGGCACAGTGGGGAACAAGCAAAGCACAAACACTTCATTAGCCCAAGTGCAAACAAACATGACAATACAGATGCTGGCAGCTCCTGGAGGAGAACTTAAACTTAAACTACAGCCTCACTCACAGGATTCAGTTCTAAAACGCATCACATTTGCTACATTTACACCTGGAACTTTTTCAGAGTTTTTCAGCCCCTGAAACTGAGAAGTTCGGAAATGCTGCTGGTCCCTTTTAGTTTGAAAAGTGCAGATCTGCGTTGTAGTCTTGACGCGCAGAAACTGAGTCCTTTGGAAACAATGACCCGCATTCACTTCCTGATTGAGTTTTATGATAAGCGTTGCTATTAAGAAATTCCTTCTCTTACTTGTTGTCATAGCTGTTTCTCATTTATAGTATTTTTTTAACTTCCTGTTTACACCAGCACATGTGTACATGAATGATTAACTGATTTACCTCTTCAGGTGTGTTTGTATGGACTGAGATTGTTTTCATTTTGTTTTCATGAAATGTATTAGTGTGGGTGTCGCCTGAAGAACCACTTTATTACTTTCACATTACTATATTTTGGTTATGAGCGTGTATAGGAGATCAAACAATAAGTATGTTAAAGCAACTAATTCATAAAATGAATTGCATACCAGAGGTAAAAAATGATAAATGACCACTGTCGGTATATCAGAATAAAACTTTTGCACATTTTCAATCAGAATGCAGCAGTACAACATTAACACGTACCTGTTGTCTCAATGAAGCGGACACACTTCTCGATGAAGAGTGGAATCGGTCTGTCTGGGGATACCACACTTACCAGGGGGACCCCAAAGTAAATGCTCTCCGGGGGCTTGGGAATAGCTGGACGCGGCTTTGTTCTTGTTTTCTGTGGAGAAAGAAAGAAAGAAGACAATGACTGTTTCGAACATGAATAAATAAACCTGCTGATACTAAGTGGAAGGCTCACTGGCCTCTAATTAAATGTGATTTTCTTCAATAGAAAATCAGGAGTTCCTTCAATGTAGTCACAAGCTTAACGTCTCCATCCTCTCTTAAACATCCTCACGCAACACTGACCTCAATTTGTTTTATGCTGACTAGTGCTATTGACTATTATTAGTCAAAAATTAACTGACGACTTATTTTTGAGATTAGGAACAAGAAAATTTAAAATGAAAATTATATATTAAACAAACCTTGGCTGTACGTCGCAGGCTCTTCAGAATGTTCCTCTTTTTCGGGTCCTCACTCTCCTCGTTAACAAGACTTTCACCTTTCAGGGTCCCGAAGTCATCTTCCTTGGACTTTGGGAGAGCTCCCATCTCATCATCACTGCCTATGAAGCTTGTCCGGAAGCTGCTGAATTTGCCGAGCCGTTTGGATCGGTCACGGTAAAGACGAGGCTTCACCCCTATTGCGGAAAACTTCCTCCTTCGCTCCAGAGAGCTGCTGTCTGCTTCGCTGTCTGAGCCATTTCCATTCGAGTGCATCCTGTTGGAGTTGCGTATGGTGATGATTTTACCTTGTGTGCTGTCGTGTGGCACTGAGTAGATGATCTCATCATTGCTCGGACGGGGTTTTGAAACCGCATCCATGGGTTCGGCGTAGTCTGAGGGATCATAGCCCACGTCCCCACCGGGAACCCAGGTAACAGCAGAGGGCAGGGAGCGACGATGTCCGAGTGTATCGATATATGGGTTACGGCTGACCTTTCGGAAGTCAAAGGTGACACCCGGTTTAACTCTAACTTGGGGGGGTAATTTGTTGTTGAGTTTGTTCTCAAAGTCTCTGATATCAGAGATGACAGAGATGTCACTGGAATCTAAGTCGGGCAGGTTGAAGCCCCCACTATGAGAAGTGAGCGTGCCATCATAGTATGGTGGAGATGGCTCAACATCATCCTCTGAATCCAGGAACATGGTGACAGGACTGGGAGAACTGCAGCGTGGAGAGTACACATTTTCATTGGTGCATGCTTCAGCTACATTATCGTACATGTGTGTGGCCTCCACAATGTTGCGTTTCTCTACCACCTCCATCAGAAAAGAATGGAACATTTCTATCCTGTGCAGGCCTCCCACTACACCCCCAGAGCCACAAACCAAACTATTAAAGCGACCCTCGATCTCATGGGCGAGCTCCTCCCCCTGCATCATCTGTTCACAGGCGTAGTCGCTGTCAGTGAGCTCTGCTTTGCTATCTCCCACAGCCAACAGCTGAACTGGGATGATGTCTTGAACTTCACATAAGAATGCACACAGAGTCTCCAAGGAAGCTTTTCGAGAGACTGAGTACACTGCAATGTAGCCGTGTACTAACCTGCTCTTCCGCAAAGTGAAGGAGGCGTGATAAGAGAGCAGAGACAGCTCTATGGCCAGCTTGTGTCCACCAACTGTCTGCTCCAGCAATACAGAGGTTCCACTATTGGACATGGGCCTGCAGTGCTGGTGCATGAGAAAAGGGGACAGGAGCTGCTCAATGTCATAAGAATCTCCGCACATTAAGCACATGACAACACGAAGGTCTGCCTCCGGGGCCGGCTGATGAGGAGAGTCTCTGAGACCTTGAGGCTCAGGGAGGAGCGGTGGGGAGCTGCTACTAAAGGATGAGCTTCTCCTAATATCCAGAAGGCTCCTCAGCACCTGGTTGATTTGAGTCTCATTGACATTATGGCCATAGCCCACACCAGGAGAGGCTGGGTCTAAAAAGCTACACTGCAGTCTCCTTGCAAACTGTTGTCCTTGTGTTATTAGGTTTAAGGCAGTTTCTCCACCTATATCCACGTATGTTCCTACGCCTCTTTTAGTGACTAAAAGCAGAGACGTTGGCAGCTGTGCCAGTTGGCTATCCCTTCGACCTAGAGTTGATTCCCTAAGTCGCTCAAGGCTTTCCACCACATAAGAGAGGGACTCTTTTGAGTTGTACAGACACAGACATCCGTGAGGTGTGAAAGTGGGCGTGTGGAAGGAGTTTACTGGAAGACGTACATTTCCCTCAATAGGCCGCAGCGTCAACTCGTACATCTTCCCATCAAGCACATACCAGTCATCATTTGTGCAGAGAGCTCTAATCTCATTGGCAAATTCTCTGGCCAGTCCATCCTTTCCGAGGATGACAAGGTTAATTCTGTCAGCCTTAGTGTCTCCAAAATGAGCTTTCACATCAAAAAAGGGATAACATGTGGGGAAACGAGAAGCTAAGAGATGTTCAATCTTAGAGTCTCCGCAGTGTGGACTGCTAGGGCAGGTCTCCTTGGTAGGGTGATAGACAAAGTGGATATGCTTCAGTACCAGAGCATCTCTTTCAGCTGGAAGCTTTTGCAGTGCCTTGAACCTCTGTTCCTCCCCTAAAACCTCCTGAATTGCTCCCATCTTCTCCTTGCTTGGCTTTGCATCTACCTCAAGTTCATAAAAAAGCTCAGAGTACTCCAGCAAAAGCTCCTGAAAGTCTTCTTTTGCACGATCAATGATCTCCTTCTGATGGCGGTTGTACAGGTCCAAGTACTCTGGCTCCTCGAGCCACTGGTAGAAGTCTTCATTCATGATAAAGCTGCGTGCCTCCTCCCACGGTTTACCAGGTGTGACAAAGGGAGAGGAGGCCAACTTCTGTTTGAACTCCAGCCTCATCTCTGCTCGCCTGCACTCATTACGCAGATGCTCCAGGTGGGCATTAAATATGTCCTCTGCTTCACCCGTCTCCAGTAGATCTGAGGGGATTCGCTCATCTTCCATGTTATCAATGTGTGATGTATCCTCCCATGGTGAGTCCTCCAACACAACAAACCAGTGGGCAAAGTGCTGCTTGGACTCTAGGACCTTCTGTACCCCAGACCAGCTCAGCTGATCTATCTCATCCAGATCAGGCACTAAAGAACTAAGTGCTAAGGGAAGAGTGCTAAGGTAGATTCTGCGACGTCTCTCAATATGTTCCTGCTTCAGACGGTAAACATGCTGTTGAAAAAGCTTCTTACACTTAGCTGTTCCCTCCAAGAAGACGTATTCTTTGTACTCTGGGGAGGTGTTCATGCGTCGACTGGTGTTTAACCAGGTTTCATTGTGATTCTTTACGATACGGTTGATGAGCCATTCATAGCGATCCTTGGCAGAAGCTATCTGCTGACTCTGGAGCTTCAGGGCTTCAAAATAGGGAATTATCTTGGGTTTGCCTCTGCCCTTATCAATTAGTTGAACCAGGGTGAGGAAGGCGAGGTCCACATTTATATTTGAGCGTGCAGATGTCTCAACTACTGGCAGACTCTTCTTTGTGATAGCAAAGGTATGTGCATCTTTGATGTAGCGTTCAACTCCTTCGTCACACTTGGTGAGGACCAGCACAATGGGCTTCTTTGTCTTGCTAAGCTGACCATACAGGTTTGTGACAAATTTCAGCTGGTCATCGAAGTTGCGGTTCATGCCCCGGCTGACATCAACACAAAGCAGGAAGCCATCCACCTGCAGCTTTCCCTCAGGCATTTGCTTTTGCTCAAAGTCTTGCTCCAGACCGAGCTGATCTGTACAGAAGTACATGAGCTTCTCTGCTGAAGCCAGCTTAGTTGCGGCTGCCCGTTTAATATAGGGCTGCATCGCAGTGCTACGGTGTGGCTGAAATGTCTGGTCATCAATGAATTCAGTTTGCTCCACAACATGCATCCTGCACTCAGGCCCCTCTTCCAGAACCCGTGACACTTCCCCCCAAAACAGAAAGTGATCATTATTAACCACTCGACCCCCAAAGTCACTGGTGCTCAACACTGATGTGTGGTCCAAGTAGAAGTCATCTGCGCTAGGTCGCACAAACCTATTACACAAACACGACTTTCCAACCCCACATTGCCCCTTCTCTTTCTCTGTTCCAGACAAACCCACCACAATGAGGTTGTAAATGGGCGATCGGGCATCTTGCTTTTTCGCCATCATCGTCTGCTGACACTCATCCTGCCATAAACAGGCACTGTGTAAGGGAGTTCACTTGACTGTTTGTCCATAAAGTTGTTGATCCACAGGGGTGATCAGCTTTCACTTTCTTCTGGTGGGCTTCAATTCTAATAAATAGCACTGCAGTGATAGGAGCAGAGGGTTCTTTGTTCATTCCTTGTATGACTCAGATCCTGTCAAAAGGGAAAAAGAAAAAAAAAGAAAAAAGAAAAAAAGAAATCAGACAAACTGGTACAAACAAATACATTTTGGAATAGGTAAAAACAGAAAATCAATAAAGCCACAAAGGGGCACATTATTAATAAAGCGTGATTCTTTATGTGATAATAAACAGTATTTTATACTTGCAAAATGGATTAGTGAAGTTTTATTAGCAAAATGTTTATATTTCTATACTTATAAATGAGTGATCTCCAACAAAAATCGTCATGAGACGAACAATGACCACATTTTGATACATTTTGTGCTTGTGTCCTTTGTATACAACATTATACTGAAGGAACTGACCTCAGTGATGAAGGCCGGCATAACCAGTAAAAGGTAAACAGTGCTGGCTCTTTAATTCTGAGTTCAGCTGGTTATTAGGCCCTTTACAGTCAATGGTCATGGCTGAGGTCATGATGATGTGTCAAGCCTGATCATATGTCAAAAGTAATAAACTGTAATATCTATGGAATCACTGTTTTATGATTATAGCTATACACACCAACATGTGATCAAGCACAGCATATCAAACAACAACCAAAAGCACACAGACAGCATGACATGGCAACCAGTCACAATGTCTCCGGACAGGGACCATATATTTTAGTGGTAAAAGTAATGTCCAAAATACAATAAACTACATTTCGAATGAGGAAGCCAGTTTTTGAAAATTCCATTAAGTTGTCCAGCAGATTTATTTACTACTCCAGGGCTGTAAGCATTATTCACATTGAATTTATATGTTGAGTATTTTATCAGATCATTTAGTGTATAATGTCAAAAAGGCCAATGACATTCTCATATTGCTTCTCCGTCTGAAAAACAAAACTCAAGGGTATTCAATTTACTATATATTTCAGGGAACTATATATTTCAGGGAACTAGATATTCACATGTGAGCAGCTACACCAATTAACTCTGTTTTTTCTGCAAAAAATAACTCTTCTAATTAAAAATTATATTTCTTAATAATTTTACATCAGTATCATTTCAGCTCTGCCTCAAGATAAGTTCCTGTAATGTCAAACCAGGATCCCAGTGACTGCGTCAATCCATGGAAAAAAAACATGTTGGGAGTGGTGCTCTTTAAATGACAACGTCAGCTGATCAGTGAGCAGAATGACAGCCATAAAAATGACCACCATGTTTCTACTGATCACATCATGACCCCTTTTCCTTATAAACGGAAGAAGAGCTATCAGCCCCATCTCCAATGACAAAACAGTGAATGAATGAAGTAAACTAACAAAGTCAGACACGTGCAGTCTATGACAAAGGCTACTGTATCTGCTCAACCTCAACAACAAGTGGTGTTAATACTTACATCATTATAGCAATGATTCTCCATTGTTATAGCACTGATGCAATTCGACACAATAGTGATCTAACAATTCCTGCAGACACTGACCAACCTGAATTACACTCGTGACTCACTGGAGTCAAACATCAGCAGAAGAAAGGGGGAATGACATGTTTAACTAACACCCTGTCATCCTTTTTGACTGCACGTACACAAGATCATTTGAAGTGTATTTGATCCCACATCCCACGTGCTGTATCTTGTCCATTTACTTGCGCATGACTCAAACTGGGCAAAATATTTGTTTAAAATAATTTTTGATTGCAAGTAAGAAGACTATAACAAGAAAATGGTTAAGGCCATGGCACAAAACTGTTGAAACCATGAAGGAAATAAATGTTACGGAGAAACTGAGCTTTTCAACAAAGCTGCAATTAAGAGATTTCAACTATATGATGGACTGTGTTATAAACTATGCAGAACTATGTCAAACTGGAGTCAAATTCTTTGTATGTATATACATATTTGGCAAAAAAAGCATATTCTGGGCATGTTTAATGGAGTTTAAATACTTGGCTACCATTGTCATTTGAGGGAAGAAAATATTTTCTGACTTTACAGGTTGTACAAACTCAAATGTGGTCAAAACATAGCAAAGTACTTCTGCTAAACCTGATTTACATAATTTTGTATTTGACTTCTTTGTCCTTATTTCCTGGTATTGTTTTCTATTTTGCTCTGTTCTGTGGAATCATGGGGGTATGAACGACACAGACCGTGTAAAGACATAATGATGAATGACTGTAAACAACCATTTGGATATAAAAACAGAACCTGCCACATGAAGTGATCGCACATGAGAAACACGTACAGCTCTGACAGGCTGAGCGGCAGCAGCCGGCACCTCAGCTGAGCACATCCAGGCCCTGACATCCAACATGACCAGACAAGTTCTTCCATTAAAAACAACCGCACTGGCCGCATCTGCAGCGACATCACCACGCGGCTTACCGGGCGTCTGCCTTCGAGGTGGCTCCATTGCACAGCCTGCTAACTCAAGATACACATTTGTGCGAGGTTACATGTCGCAAAAAGGGATTAACAGTGAACGTGGGCTCCAGGGGGCTGACCACGCCAGGCCCCGCTGTCTACATAATGAAATCAGAGCCCAGATCGAGGGGGGAATAGCCCCGTCTCCTCCCCGCCGACACACGATGTTAGGACGGGGATGTATTGACCCAGGTGTCTGCGGGTGCACAAGTGTCCACTACAGGAGAAACCGCCCTTAAAGAAGAGGAGAGCGTGTCGGGTACATACCATCGGCTTTCTCCCTTTCTCCTCCTGCATCTGTCAGGCCAGCCCTTGCCGCAGCCCTCGCCGCCTGATGTGCACGGACATTCAGCCGCAGAACGCACCGCGGCTCGTCCCGATCCACCGATAATACTGCAACCACAGCGATTGTGTTGGTTTTATTGAAAAATACCAATCGGCTCGTGTGCGGATTCGCTTTAATCAGCAGGACTGCTTCGCTGCAATTAAACACGGAGGAATAAAATGTCCCGGATAATAGAACAATCCGACTTAGCCCCTGCAAAGAGTTGTTTTGTCCTTCATGAGAAATCCTGGCGTGTTTAGAAAAAAGAAAAAGAGAAGCCTCCTCAGTCGTCTTCTCCTCGGTTCACCACGTTGCTTTTTCGATAATTATTCTGTCCATTGTTGTGCCTACATAATGCTGCCGCTGGGCCGGGGCCGCCGCGCACACAACACAACGCAGAGTTCGTTGCAATCCCCGCGCTGCTTCTGTCTGAAATTCGGCTTCTGCTGCGACACAGATCGTCTCGTGTCCCGGTCACGCTTGCGGAGCGGATCGCGTGTGTGAAAGTGGTATTTTCTGCCAGGTTTCCGATAATGGCGGCGGCCCTCCTCCTCCCCGGACCTAGTTCTCTGCTCTCTTCTTTTCTCCGGGAAAAGGCAGCAGTGGAGACAGAGGCAGCGGAGAGAGGGACTCACCCAGCGGCGCCTTCACTCAACTGCAGCAGCTCCCTGCCACTGCTGCTGCTGCTGCTCGTCACTCCCTCAGTATTCTGTTCCTCTGCATGTACTCAGGGTTTCACCATCACACCTTTTGTTCATGTAGATTCTACTGAGATACAATATTTGTAATCACACTGAACAATAATACCAGTAGCAATAAGCCGCAGTTAAACATACCTGGGGTCTTCCCCCGCTGACATCTTGTGTGAATGATACCAGGGTCTGCACCACCGAACATACAGGTACACTTGTGTTTTTTATTGTACAATGTCTTTCAAAATTACAGCAAATGCTTTAAGAGATCATGTTTCAGAATAGCAATGTTTTTATTTGGTTAAATTACAGATCATTCATATCAGGCTACAGCGCTAGCTTCACATTGAGTCAGGCTACTCTCTATCTTTTAGCTACTTGCTAATTTATTTTATCCCAAACTAATATTTGTAACACCACAAAGTGTTGCTAATAAATTCCATTCATTGTTTCAATATATGCATAAGATTTGAACTTAGCTTTTTATAATTAACAGTAAGCTTAAAATGATATGGCTGATCAGAAATGTTTGGGAGCTAGCTTCCCATTAGCATGAACTGTTTACCTCCAAATTGTCTTAGTTCAGGGTTAAAGTAAAAAAAACAAGGCCTTTAACAAAGAAATTGCTACTTAGCATCAATTTTAGTGTACAAATCATAAACTGCATTAAAAAACAGTAGTCATTGTAGTCATTGGCCTGTAGGTATTAGCAAAATAAATACATTTGAATCAAGAAAATGCGTAAATGACAACGAACTGCTATACAACATGTCACAAAGAGAAACAGTTTTAGTCATGAAAGTAAATAAGCAGACAGAGGAAAACGAGACTACACAGTATATACAGGGAGTTGAGAAAGGTCCAAAGCAAATAAAGGAATATTGGTTATATAGGAAATGTGTTTCAAAACATTGAACAGTGAATTATAGTGGAGGTAGTCATGAATAGTATGGTCCTATAGCCATTAAGTTTGTCTGTATATGTACTACCACTCGGCTCTCCCATCTTTAACTGAGGCAGACATCAGTCATCATATCTCATTACTTTCAGCGGATCATTGACTTGTCGCCTCCTAGTGGAGTTATAGGCCATAATGCGTCTGAAATCTTCTCTCACCTTTGCAATGGGGGCTTAATGCAGTCACAGTTTTTACTTTCTATAAAGATTTATATTAAGATTTCCAGTTATTTTTTGAAATACCTTTTTTTCAGATATGCTGTGCTGTAATTTTACCTGTCTGGGTTCAGTGGTCCCAAGTTGGAATGTGTTCAGATCAGGCTGCTCGGAACAGAGCGTCAGCCTGATGATGGACTGTGTGGTGGAGGAGCTTCACCTTCAGCTGTAACCCAAACTGTGGCCACCACCAGACTGCTGCTGCTGTTGCTGGAAGAGGAAGACATGGGAGAAACTCATCCACATGCTCTAATTATTGAGTAATCGCAGGTAATGTGAATGCATTGTGAGTGTGTGTGTGTTCCTGCAAGCTTTTCACATGCAAGATGCATGCACATTTCTCGGTGTGGTTATATTATGTTACAGTCTAACTAAATGGTGGTGGAATAAATTAATGTAGAAAGGTCAGAGTGCAAAATACCACCGTGAGCAAAAAATCCTGCATGTAAGTAAGAGTTCTGTTGTTGTTTTTCTAGATATCCTATTATAAACTCAGACAAGGAAATCTTCATGTGTTTGTGATTCTAGATGAAATGTCAAGCAGTCAGCAAACTCATTAAGATTCAGCTTCTGGGTGTAAAATTTAATCACAAACCAGCCCTCTCAGAAAAGCCAAGCAATAGGAGCCAGTTCAGTGTAATTGATATTATTACCACTAGGAAGAGCCCTAAGCCTTCTTTTAATTCAGAACATGGAGTGGAGTTGATGTAGTGATAAGCTCATGGTTGTTTTCCCAGTAATCGTGCAAGGGAAGTTACATTATTGACCTTTTTAATCATCCACATGTTAAATGAAAACATATTTAAGATTACTGAATCCCCAACAGCTATGTGTTCCCTTAGTGTTCTTTTTTTCTAAATTCCTGCTACATACACAAATTAGTTTCCACTGGTAGATGATTCACAGGGTTTTGTTTTACACCTTGATCAATTTATGAAGTAGCCTTTGTGGTGTAACAGGGATCTGGGGGATGAGAGGCAGCAGGGGTGAGAGTGAGGTGAAAGGGACGGCAGATGGGTGCTGAAGGAGCTCAGCACTGGTGGACAATAGGTGGGAAATGGCATCTCTTGCAAAAACATAATGGACAGCATAGGGAAAGAAAGATTAGGTAACATTGAAATGATTTTTTCATTTTTAGTTAGCTTCAAAAGAAGCTTCCTTGCAGCTCCACCCTGAATGGTGAATAATGCAACATAACAATTCAAAGATGGGAAGGAAAGAAGAAAGGAAAAAATAGACTATTTGATGTAAAGAGATTTAGATGACCAAGATAAATTCAAACTATTATATCTAATTTATTCAGCCACATAACCTGTCTGTTTGTCAATTATGTGTGTGTCACTGAGAAAGTGAGAGTGGAAGAAAAGAGACAGAGAGGGAGACAGAGAAGAGAAATATTTTCCACCCCACCCAGATAAGTCATCATTCTTCTGTGATTCTTTGTTACACTGAATCGGAAAACCTTAGCAATTTAAATACAAAATGAGGGAAAAACCATCATTATTATACCTCGGTCTCAAACACTGCAGCCATGGCAGTTTAAGACCGGGAGGTTATGCCAGGATCTCAGGATTTCTTAATATGTCACATGTTCAGAATTAGTTTTTGAGTTTTTAATGTAATTATATGAAATTGAAGTCAGGCAGAGGGCTGTAGCTGCAAAAAAGAAATCCACAATAGACAGGGGAGACATGCTTCACGTGTTTTTCTTGCTTTCAAGATACTTCACCACAATTTTACAATGTTTTGGTGTTGAGTATAACAGAAGTAGGCACAGTGACAGTTGAAATGAGTAGAGAGTGGGTGTACTCAGCAGACGGCTGTTAGTTGAGATAAATCAACTCATTCCCGCCATATACATATTTTTATAACAGCTACAAATGTTAGACACCAGTTTCTCAAACATAAAGCCTTGGGTTCTATATATTTTAAACTAATGATGTACATATACAGTAGACTGAATTATGAGTTGCTTAGGTATGGTTTAGATACGAATCAGGTCCAAGCAAATGCTAATAGGAAGATCCCAAACATCAGGAAACGCAAGGAAAGGAAGGAAATCTCTCTTACAGGAACTGCTAAACAAAGATAGGAACGCAGAATGTTAAACACTCATCTGGAAAATCTGTTGGCTTAGGTAATGACGATGGACTTAACAGTCAAACTGTATTTTTTCTCTGAGTGACTTTGAGTCTTTTTCGATTTTGCTGGCAGGAAGGTTTTGACCACATGTTGTATAGTGTGTGCAGTGTAGAGAAACCAGATGTGTTTGGTGACTGCCCTCATGTTTTCCACATGCATGTGGTTGTTCATGGTATTTCTTGGATACCCATCAAAAGTAAGTCGAAACTCCTGCCAGCAATCCATCTATTATATATTTTGTCTAAGACACCTGTGTATGGTTACTCAAGTAAATTTCCTTTTCACCTTTCTGACAAAACCAAAAGACTCAGTAGGTTTCAGAGGTTTCAACTATCAGTGGAATATATACATCCATCAAATATAAACATCCAACATCTTATTCTTTTAGATTTGCAGGGGGAACAAGGAGTCAATTTCAGCTGATATCAGGCAAGAGGTGGGATACGCCCTGGTAGCCAGTGTACCGCAGGGACAATATACAGAAACACCCATTCACACTCACAGTCATTCCTATGGACAATGTAAAGTCTCCAATTAACCTAACCCCTATCTGCAAGACCTACGCAAACTCTGAGAGCTTGCAAACTCCACACAGAAAGTCCTGGCTGAACTGGGATATGAACCAGGAACCTTCTTGCTGTGAGGCGACAGAGGAATAAATATCGGGTGTATTGCAAAATGACAGCATGAATTTGATGAAATGTATTCCAAGGTTCAGACTAAAGACAAAGCCCATATTACACCCAGTGGAGGGAAACTAGGGCCTGAGCCATGTGGCACTTACGAATGAGCACCTGGTGGTCAAGCTGCACATGCATATGGCTGCACATAGTTCTTGCACAATTGTTTGGCATGAATAAACTTTAATATTTTTGACCTCAAAAGCATTTGAAACATGCATCCTGAAGTGTAATCTACAGGTCACATAACCTCTTATTCTGAATATTTCCTCCCTGCGTTTTGTTTGGCTTTGATAGAGCAACACAACAATACCTGTTATTCTGCTATAGTCAACTGTTCTGTGCCAACCAAATGATCTACTCTCATCTCATTGTGTGAGTTTCTTTTGAAACCCTGTGTGTGCATTCTACACACATTCATTTGTGTTAGGGAGAGAGCAGCATAAACATTGTTTTCTCCTCCCTTTAAACACCATTGTGACAGCCAGAGATTGAGAAAAAGAGCGAGAAGCTTTCTCCATCTGGGTAACATTATTCAGATTCCTTAGTGTTGGATATTTGGTGATGCCGGCGAGAGAGAGAGGGGGGGGTGGAGTGGGAGGAATGGGGTGAGAGGAAAGTTAAGGAAATAAAACCAGAGGAGGGCGCTGTTCTGTCACAGAGACGATTTAGCCTGATCTGCACTCCCCAAAAATGCCTAGAATGGGAGGGAAAGAGAAATCTGACACTCCAGCATATTTTATGTTAAACTATTGCTATATAATTAATTGTGTATATAATTGTGTCATTGTGATTGTTGCCAGGAAAACCATGCAGCTAATATAAGAGTTCAGATCAGACTTTCAAGTATTTGCCAAGATGTATTTTGGATGCCAGTGTAAGTCATTCCATCAACAGTGGAAAACAGACAGAGTTGCTGGGTGAAACACTTCCATAACTCACATCCCTGTGAATCTGTCTCGGCTTGTGGGTGAAAAGGGAGGGAGCAAACTAAAATGGGAGGGAGGGAAAGAAAGAATGTAGTTAGATCTTCTCATGTGATTTCTGTTTTTACTTTTTTTATATAGCTGCTGCGTGATTACGGGGTTGTAGTTCAGGGCTCTAAACATTTTTTTCCAAACCCTCTGTTTTATCTGGCTCCTTTTTTTTTTTTACATTATCCAACTGCATACTTTCCCTTGACTTTTTTTTTCCAGTTGTGTGACGTGTGAGTGGAGTCCCTGCCCTTGTTTCATGCAGTGTAGTTTAGAGGGGAGAGGGAAGGACAGGGACTTGTGGAGAGCCAGACAGATATTTTGACCCGTCAAGGGGAAGATGAATTGAAGGTATAAACAAGCTGTTGGTGTTTTGGCCTGAGTGCGTGTACTTTGTCTCACAGGAAAGCCAGACCAGGAGGAAGAAGGACGTGGAGAGAAGAGAGAGGCTGAGAGACAGTGACGGACAGGGAATTAAGTTGCCTTAAATCTGTTGCCCATGGGCGAAGGTGGATGAGAAGTTACAGTTGAGGAGTCTGTCTGACACAGGAGGAGGGGCACCAGCCCGGGGGGGACCACCAGTTCTGTCTTCTTCCAGCAACAACAGGACAGGATGAGGTATCAAGCCAGGGTAAGTTCCAGAGTACAGTGATGCCCTTTCTGTGTTTTCATGTTAAGTAAATTTGTACACTTATTCAATAGTGTAAGCACAAGATCAGAGTCACCAGTTTACTGCCCCTTTCATGGAGGGAAAAGCAAAACAGAACAATGACTCACTGAGTGGTTTTTTTTCCATTTTCCTGTGTATGAGTCAGAGTGTATTTTGGTTTTTAGTGTAAGCTTTAACTCAAGCAGTCCAAAGAGAATAAACTTGGTATTTTTCCACCATATCCATTACTGGCACATCAGTGGTAGGGAGCCAGCTGTGGTACCAGAGCAGCTCGCCCTGGGATGGAGTGGTAGGGCACGCCATATAAGGAAGACAATCCGAATCAAGTCGGCCCAGCAGAGCTTAGTCATGGGGCCTGGAGCCAAGTCCCAGTGTTAGATTGGTCTCCTCGCTGGTTGTCACTGCAGCTGCTCCTTCAAACCTGCAGAATCCTCTGAACGCTCCCTGGTTTTCAGAGTCAAATCCCACATAAAGCACTCAAGCTCGGTGGGTGTCAATTAATTCAGACTCATAGTGCTGTAACAAGCAGACCTCAGGTCAGCAAAACTGAAAGGATTACATTGTATTGCGGTTAAATCACTACCTAAGACCAAGTATCTCAGCTGAGTAGAACTATTTTCAAATCCTTTAAGATTTCCTCTTAGATGATGTAACCCCAGCGACAGCAGGGTTTCAAGGTTTTTGGAATCAAAAGAAGTGCTTTTGGAAAATCACCATTTAAAGTGATTCTCCCTGACATGTTATGGTGCCAAAAAAAGAACACATGACTGGTGAGGGACAGATCACTGAAAACAAAGTTTGCTGTGTTTTGCACTCATGAGAGAATAGAGTGTTTTGTTGTGTGGAAAGTCCAAATATCATCATCATTGCAATACCTTTCTTAAGCAGAAATACAAGATCATTGAACAAATTTGGATTTTTCAGACACTGGCACGGTTGACACTGTCAGCACAGCAGCTTGTGTACAAGTAAATACCATCTGAGATGAACAGAAAGAGAGATTAGATGAAACCAAAGATGCAGACCAGAGGAGTCTACAAGAGTTAGAGTCAGGTCATTGTCGTCTACCATGAAAGGTTGATGTGTATGCTGAACACATGGAGGTGTTTCCCAAGTTTCATAATAACGCTTAAGCCCACCCTTTAAGCTGTGAGACATAATATGTGATAAGCATTCCAAAGAAAGTCTTACCTGCAGATAAACTGAAAAAAACCATCTTTATCAGCTCAAATTATGAAGCACATGGCATTATAAGTTAACAAACTATCAAGAAATTATTATAAATTTGGTATTTGGCCACAGCTGCATCTTCAATGCATCGCCACACCTCAAGCAGGGTGGAGATAATTATATTTTGTCTTATCATGAATGTAAATGATTTGTATGTCCAACTGTACATATTTGAAGTGTTTGAAATATGCACAGCTGATAAAACACAATATAGTAGCATTTGGTAGTACCCACTGAACACTTGCCCTGAACCTGACCCGAACATTGCTTTGTTGTATCCTTTGGAAAATCTGACTGTGAAGTGTAATTGCTATCTGTAGGAACTAGCCCACCTGCAGGAGCTGGGAGAACAATACTCTGAGGCGAGGCATAGAGGAGGAGGGGTGAATTATAGTGGAAGTGTCCGTTGACTTTTCCTTTGCTCTCACTTCTTGGCTATCTTCCACTGTTGTCCCCTTGTTTGCTGAAGGATTTTCCTGCATCTCGTGCTCGGAGATAATGACCTTTTTACTGGCATAAGCAGCCAAATGAGACCCTTGAGAGGTTCTTGCATTCAAGAATAACATAATTCCTGTGGAAGTCAAGCCCCTTTGTTCTACTTTCTGCTTGTTTTTTTTATGAATTTATGAAGAACAACAGTCTTTCTCAAATTTGATACTGATGACAGTGCAGCTGCTTTGGCTGAGGTGTAATACTGATTACTGTGTGGGACTGGATATTTATTGTCAGTAAGTATTGAGTACTGACACTTGGCATTTCTTATCTCTTTGTATGTGCATGGGCATGACTGTGCATGTGGCTGAATGTATAATATACTTCAGGGAAATATTTGTCAATTTCTTTCTGCAGACTTGATTTCTGTTTGCCATTACCGTGGGGTTGACATGCACACACAGCTTCCTTGCTGCAATGGTTAAACCCCGTCTGGTGATATAGAGCTGTGTGTACTGTGCATACATCACAATACACTATCTCACTATCACACAACAGATGAGTCTATCATGTCTGTTTATCATTTGGATGTCTTAAATGTCTCCACTGTTTAATCTTGGCGAGGTTTAGTTAACTGTTTTTGCTTTGATGAAATGTGTTCAGTAAGTCCTGAGTCTTGGGCTCTGAAACACTGGACATTATTTAGAAATACTTATTGTCCCATCACATGAATAGATTCTTTCTTGTTACGTTTTATTTGGCAAGTATTGTAATGCTGAGCACCAGATGTTAATTCTTTCAGAGCTCAGTTAATGTAATGTGCATGAGGTGGATTGGAATAGGCCTCTTGTGCCCCCTGCTTGCCAGCAGTGTAACTACTTCAATGATAGGGTTGGTTTTACCAAGATCAAAAATCTTTTCCCTCTTTATTTTGAAAATGAGAAGTAACTCATGGATACATTTTAGTATTAATATAATTTGTATTAATAAAACACCCCATACAAACTGTTGAGCACAGGCTGTGTAATGACGGAGTCTTATCAGCACTTATCAGATGGACTCCTTTCTGTGTCCTCTTCTTGCAGGAGGTGGATGTTGAAGGAAGAGTGCGCCTGGTGATGGAGAGTGCCCTGACTGCACGGGACAGGGTCGGGGTGCAGGACTTTGTCTTGCTGGAGAACTTCAACAGTGAGGCAGCCTTCATAGAGAACCTGCGGCGACGGTTCAAAGAAAACCTCATCTACGTAAAGATGCCAGTCATATGTTCCAAAACATTTTAGGTTGTGTGGTGAGACATATTCGAATGTATTGACTGTTCTTCCAATATCTTGGCACAGACATATATTGGCTCTGTGCTGGTGTCAGTGAACCCGTACAAAGATCTGGAGATTTACTCCAAGCCGCAGATGGAACGCTACAGAGGGGTCAGCTTCTACGAAATATCGCCTCACATGTGAGTCCCCTCATTTTTAGTATCTTGCTTAATCTATTGATTCCTGGGATTTGTTGGAAAATGATTTGGATAGTATAATCCCATATAATCACTAATAAGTAGGGACATGTATTTTATTATGTTCATGCATGAAATAAAAGTAAATAAAAGGATTAAGTTCACTGAATTGCGCTGGTGTTCACATAATTTTTCCATCAGATTGATCTAACTGTGTGTTAAACCGTTTTCCCCTCAGCTATGCTTTGTCAGACAACACATATCGAGCGATGCGGACTGAGAGGAAAGACCAGTGTATCCTCATATCAGGTGAGAGTGGAGCAGGTAAAACAGAGGCCTCCAAAAAGATCCTCCTCTACTACGCTGTCACCTGCCCCACCAATCATCACATGGCTGCCCTTGGTGACCACCTACTGCAGTCCAACCATGTTCTGGAGGTGATGAACCTTTGACATTTCAAATTGAAAACAGCTATGATCAATATCAAAAGCACAGTAAATAGTGACTTATTTAGCTTCCATAATATAGCGTAGTAACTACTATCTGACTGCTCAGAATGACTTTGAATTGCTTGTTCCTTATTGTTTGATGTTGTTGTGTTTTGTTGCTATTAATTTTACTTCCTCTCTCTGATTTCATGGCTCCCTTGCCTTTTATAGGCATTTGGCAATGCCAAAACACTGAGGAATGACAACTCCAGTCGCTTTGGGAAATACATGGATGTCCAATTTGACTTTAGGGTAAAATCTCCCTCCTTGGCTCTCTCCTTCTTTATAGTAAAAAAAGTCATGTGTGCTCACACCATACTAACATCTTTTTCTGTAATTCCTCCAAGGGAGCGCCAGTGGGCGGTCACATCCTGAACTACTTGCTAGAGAAATCTCGTGTAGTTCACCAGAACCACGGTGAGAGGAACTTCCACATCTTTTACCAGCTTCTGGATGGAGGGGATGAAGAGCTGCTTAACTTGCTGGACCTGGAAAGAAACCCACAGAATTACCACTATCTGGTCAAGGTCTGTCTGTGTGTGTGTGTGTGTGTGTGTGTGTGTGTGTGTGTGTGTGTGTGTGTGCGCCCTGCAGTCAGAGCATTACTTGTGGTGTTGTTGATTGTGGTGAACATTGATTGTCTTGTTCAGGGTAACTGCCCCAGAGTCAGCTCCATTAGTGACAAGAATAATTGGAAAGTTGTGATGAAGGCTCTGTCTGTTATCGGCTTCACTGAGGAAGAAGTGCAGGTGAGTAACAGCCACGGTGATGAATGATTGTCTTCATGCAGGGAGCAACACTGCTGTTTTGTTTTTCTTGTATACCACATTCACCAAATTAAAGTGGAATCGTTTCAAATACAGGTCTTAGGAATAAATCCAAGAAAAACTGTGTCCTTACAACTTGTATCATACTGTGATTATTATTTCTAGTCAAGGGAATGTCTGCAGTTTCTTATTTTAGTTTCTTATATAATTTCTTGCTCTTTACCATGGCCAAACGTCACATGTTTTATCATCATAAAAACATCTGGGACAACTCCAAAAATCCAAATATACAGCTACAAGTTTTTTTTCCTGTGTCTGACCTCAGAAATTGCTGAACATCATCGCCGGTGTTCTCAATCTGGGAAACACTCAGTTTGGAGAAGGGGAGGAAGGAGAAACATTCATCACCACAGAGACCCAGATAACAAATCTTGCGAAGGTCAGAACGGTCCCAGGAGTATATTAGATGTTCAAATATGCAAAAACTGTTGCAAAAAAGGCATTGCAGATGACAGATGTGTTCTTTTTTTCCAGCTGTTCAGTGTTGATGTTTCCGCCCTGGGAGAGGCACTCACTCACAAGAAACTCACTGCCAAAGGAGAGGAGGTGACAGTCGTCGTGTTCTTGTTCCACATGTTTTTGCGGTCTCCTGTTTATTGTTGTTTTTTAAATACATTTTGTCTTGTACGTGCATTTGTGCATTACAGATGGTCACCCCACTTAATTTTGAGCAGGCAATGTCTGCCCGTGACGCCTTAGCCAAGGCTGTGTATGGTCGGACATTCTCCTGGTTGGTGGAGAAGATCAACCAGTCGCTGGCTCTGAAGGTGCAGCAGCATCCCTGATAACAACTCAAAGACAGAAATATAAATTCTATCATCAATGGTTTACCATTATTTCCTTTATATATTCTGTAGGATGAAATCTACCACAGCAGTCAGCCCTCCTCACTTATAGGACTTCTTGATATCTATGGTTTTGAGGTCCTGCAGCACAATAGGTATGTGTTGTTTTCCTTTTCCTTTTTAGGCCACAGCTTAATCTGCTTCTCATCGCACTCTATAAATGCATTTGATCTCATTGCCCTCATATTTTTCCCCACAGCTTTGAGCAGTTTTGCATCAACTACTGCAATGAGAAGCTCCAGCAGCTCTTTATTGAGCTCACCCTCAGATCTGAGCAGGAGGAGTACGAGACAGAAGGGATTGAGGTATGTCTGTTTTTTAGTTTGGGTTCTCATAACAAATAAGTTTGACATGTTAATAGATATTTACATTTTCATGCTATTACAACCTGCTCTCCCCTCTAATTTCAGTGGGAGACAGTGCAGTACTTTGACAACAAGATCATTTGTGACCTGATAGAAGAGAAGCACAAAGGCATTATCTCCATTCTGGTACAAATGACAACCTCTAGTTTATTTATTTGTCTTTTTATATTTTGCTGTATATGCTTCTGTCTTTGTACTTTAAATTGATTAGTGTGAGTGTCTTTTAGGATGAGGAGTGTCTGAGGCCTGGAGAGACTGGTGATGTCTCCTTTTTAGAGAAACTGGAGGACACGCTGGGTGGCCATCCCCATTTTGTCACGTAAGCATCATCTTATATCTCATATTTTTTTTACATAGGCCTCCAGGATAAAGACTCCTAACTACAGCTTCATATTTGTATATTGTGTGCAGACCTGTGTATGTATCCGTGTATGGTTATGTTTTTCAGTCACAAACTGGCAAATGGAAAAACCCGCAGGGTAATGAGTAGGGAGGAGTTCAGGCTGCTTCATTATGCTGGAGAGGTCAACTACGATGTCAATGGTAAGCTGTAATTCAAGTAACTCAGAGTGAGTTGTGTGTAGTTATGAGTGGCGACACTTATTACAGAGCACTACCCATAACCCACTGATTCCATAATGGCCGTGTTCTTGTTTGTCTCATTCAGGTTTTCTAGAAAAGAACAATGATTCGCTGAACAGGAACCTGAAAGAGGTGAGCCTGAAGAAAAGCCTCATCACAACCTGTATCAACCTGTGTCTCTTGCTGTTGCTCTATTGAAGGGAGGGGGCTGACATGTGGTTGTGTGGTTTGGTCTCTTTTCAGGTCATGTGCCAGTCAGACAACTATATTTTGAGCCGCTGCTTCCGCAGAGAGGAGGTATTGGACCAGAAACGCCCAGAGATGGTGAGAATTTTTCTCTCTCTTTCGCTTCCTCTTTCTCTCTCTCGCTTGCTCTCTCTCTCGCTTGCTCTCTCTCTCGCTTTCTCTCTCTCTCTCTCTCTCTCTCTACATACAATTACAGAAAAGTCGGTTACTTTTTTTGTTTCTGTAACTATCCATTAGGCTGCCACACAGTTTAAAAACAGCCTGATGAAACTTATGGACATCCTCAGGTCTAAAGAGCCATCCTACGTGCGCTGTATCAAACCTAATGATGCCAAGCAGTCAGGTACATGTTTGCACATTGAATTTGTTGTACTGTTGTTATAACTGTTATTATCAGTTTTATGTCCTTATGTTCACACAAATTAAGGCACATTCTAAATAAAGACCAAGGAATAAATGATAATACATATTTTTCTCCCTGCTCTAAAATGGCCCACATGATGAATAATAAATCAATAATCAAAAGTGTATATACAATTATCAGTACAGCATAGTCATGATATACTGAACACTGTCTAATTTACTCTTTTTAATAGATGTCGCTAAGGAATTCATTTAGACTCATTTTACTATGTCACACTTTCTGCTGCTGTTAATACAGCTCAACAATTCCTGCAGAGGTTTCACAATAAAAGCCTCCCTTGGAGTAAATAAATCATGCCCTGTGATGCATTTTTATGTGAAATAGATGATGGAAGTTTTTTTTACAATTGCATCCACAAGTTATTGGCATCAAAGATACATTTGAAATAAAAAAAAAACAAGGGTTATCAATAAATAACAAGAAGACATTTAAAATGTGGAAATTTTGAAATAATGGTCTCAGTCACTTCTTTAGAACATTTTGCACATAATGTAATGTGTATGTAATATACAGTATAGTATAGAATAGTTTGTGTATATTTGAAGTGAATAAGATGTCTCCCTGAAGGAAGGTTTGATGAAGTTTTGGTCAGACACCAGGTAAAGTACCTTGGCCTGATGGAAAACCTGAGGGTCAGGAGAGCTGGCTTTGCCTATCGTCGTCGTTTTGAAGCCTTCCTGCAAAGGTGACTGATGTTCTCTCCTAACGACTTACAACCTCAGTGATTGTGTTTACTCCAAGGTCATCCTTCCAACATTATGTTATTTGCAAATTCCGTCAGGTATAAGCCTCTGTGTCCTGAGACGTGGCCAAATTGGCACGGTAGACTGGATGATGGTGTATCCACACTGGTCAACCACCTGGGCTACAAGCCAGAAGAGTACAAACTGGGCAGGTGATGTAGTGACAATGTGTAATGTCACAGTTAAAGTTTAAACATGCATAAAAACATTGCACACACTGGAATTTATCACATGTTGTGTCTACTGTCTGCAGATCAAAAATCTTCATCCGTTTCCCAAAAACTCTCTTCACCACTGAGGATGCACTCGAAGCAAAAAAGCCAGAGATAGGTAAGTAGCAGTGGTTTAGATTTGGAAACAACTGAAATGAAATGGAAGATAATGACTCTCAGTCAAATATTGTTATTGTTAGAATCAGAAAAGCTTTTATTGCCAAGTAAGTTTTAGTAAGTAAGTTAAGCACATTTGTTTCGAGTGTCAGAGAGGTGATGATAAACCCTTTTTGAGGCTGCAGTTTGTTTTATTGTTGTATTGGACTGCAACATATTGTGTCTACTCCTATTAACCTTCTCCTCTTCCTGTCTATCATAATGATATATTTCTCAACACAATCATTTTATATTTTTAAAGCATATTCAACATGACCTGGCAAAGCACAACATATTTAATCAGTGGATTACATCCTTCACTGAACTATGAATCAGCTGCTGTGCCAGAGGCATCCACAGCAGGACCTCTGGAACACCTCAAAGTAGAAGCATAAATCCACCTTTAGTCTCTTTTCTTTGTTTTGATCCAGCGTTGACTCTGCAGACGTCATGGAGAGGCTACAGGGAGAGAGCCAAGTACCAACGGATCAGGCATGCAGGTCAGAGCACCTCCCACTGTTGATTACTCACAGAACTCAGTCAGGGTTATTATGTTTGGATATTCAATTCTCTTACAATTCTAATGCTCTTTGTTTAGCCTTTCAAACTAACTTTACTTTTAGTTACTTTTCAGATAATGTTTTATTGTCAGTTTTACTCTTGATAAATACTGATTTTGGATTTCTATCATTGTTGAAAGTATGTACATGCACATAGAAACTATTTTGGAAGTTTCAAGAGCACATTCTTCATATGAAGATACAATGGTCCACATTCCAGCTCATGTATCTATCTGACTGTAAATGCTTGTGGTTTTTTTTATTCCATGTAGATTTTTAATATATTTCCATTTCCAATATGCCTGTTTTGGCCTCAGCTTTCTGTTTCAGTAAACTGTGCTATACTAACCATGGGATGTTCTCTCTGGCTGAGTATAAAAGTTGTCTTGGTGTTAATATGTGCATGTATGTGTGTATGTAGTGATAGTGATCCAGTCTGGGTGGCGAGGAATGAAAGCACGCAGGAGGGCTAGGAGGCGTCGACAGGCTGCTGAGTTAATCCGCAGGTGCTTGACTGATTCTTTGTTGCAGTTTGTTTCTTTAATTATTTTTAAATCTGCGTTTTGCATGTTTCGTTACTTCCCTTCTTGGTATCTGTCCTTTTTTTTCCACTAGGTTTATAAAGGGCTTCATTTACCGTCATGAGGAATACTGCCCTGAGAATGAGTATTTCCTGGATCATGTGCGCTGCTCCTTCCTGAAGAACCTACGGAAAAACCTGCCCAAGAGCGTTTTGGACAAAAGCTGGCCGACACCTCCTCTCTTACTCGTTGAGGTACAAAATTCCCTCACACACAGAGCATCCTAGTGTGCACATAAAAGTAATAGTACATACAAGTAAGAATCTATGAGTTATTAATGCAAATTCTATATTGCCAATTCCACGGCAGGCCTCTGAGCACCTGCGGATACTGCACATGAGAAACATGGTCATGAAGTACTGCGGGAGGGTCCAGCCTGAATGGAAAAAACAGGTACATTGTTTACCGAAGGCACAAAACTTTCTAAATTATAAAGTAATACATTATGATTCAGCTTCATGTTTTTTCTTTCCTGTAGATGGTGCAGAAAGTTGTAGCCAGTGAGATCTTCAAAGATCAGAAAGACAGCTACCCTCAGAGTGTCGGCAGGCTGTTTTTGGACTCCAGGCTCGGTACGTGTTCATAAATACATTCATTACCTCCACACACAAACACCGTTCATCATATACAGAAACATGCAACTTTAACAGAGGCTTTCCCATTTCTTTGTATAGAACGTGAGCAAATCAGTCTCAAAGTCATCCAGACTCTTGGAAATGACAAAGTGCAGGTGGGACTTAACATTTTTAAAATGATGATGATGATAATAATTTGATGCCTAACACTAATGTGCGTCCCTGTGCTCCTCAGTATGGTGCGTCAGTCGTAAAATACGATAGGAGGGGTTTCAAGCCTCGGCCTCGCCAGCTGCTCCTCACGAACACCTTCGCTGTGCTGGTGGACAGGACCAAGATCAAACAGAGGATTGACTACACAGCTCTGAGAGGTGGAAACCCACCCGGAGTGGGGAAGGGGGGGCGGTTATGTGAATTTTTTTAGGTTGCTGAGAAATCCTTGATCCACGATGTCTGTTGAACTCTACGGAAGCGTATTGCATTCATTTGAAAAAAAAACTAAGAGTAATCTACTTTTTGGTTTGTTTTTTTTTGAATAATTTCTTCTGTTTTTCTGACCAATTTTTTTCTGATCTCTTGTCATCCCCTGGTAAAAAAAAAAATCTTGAACAAATGTGACTTTCCACTGGAGCGATAAAAATTTACAATCAAATCAAAAGATGAGGACATAGGTTTTGGATAATTACATTGGGTGATTTTGAACCTATTAATACTGATTCATTTTTTGTGATTGTGTTCTGTAGATCAGTAAGTCCAAACAAGGTTTTCTCTTTTAACAGGTATCTCTTTGGGCTCTCTCAGCGACGGGATGTTTGTTGTGCACATGCCCACTGCGGACAATAAGCAGAAGGTACAGTATGACACAGCAGTCACGACTGTTAAACATACAACCACAGAGCCACTTTTAATCCAGCTCTGTGTGCCTCAGGGAGACGTTGTGCTGCAGTGCAACAATGTGATCGAGCTGGTGACAAAAGTAGCCATGATGGCTGACAAGATCGACTACGTCAACATCAACCCGGGCAGGTGAGTCCTTTTTGACTGCTCATCTGAGCCAGCAGAAATCCATTAGCTGTTGCTGGTCCAATGCTTATATTCTCATCCTGTCTTTATTTGTTACCTCTCTGTGTGGCGTGCAGCATCAGGTTTGCTGTGGCTCGTGGCAAAGAAGGAATCATTGATTTTGTCAGGGGCTCGGAGATGAAGGTGGCCAAAGGCAAGCGAGGACATCTGCTAGTGGTGAGTCAGTGGCTGTTCTCATGTCATGTGGGAAGCCTCGAGGGAGGGAGGGAGGGAGGGAGGGAGAGTGTTTTGACATTAAAAAAACATTTCGACCAGCTGACTGTCTTCAATCTGATTTCACTCTGCAGACTGTCCCTCGCACAAACACCACATGAAGAAACAGAAAACATCTGCCAGGCAAACAATAATCCTTTCAGCTAAACGGAGGATTGCCGCTCGGAAGTCGTCGTTGTTATTTGTTAGTTTGCAGCTGACAGGATGACACTGTGCGCATACACAACATCCTCAACTTCCTCAACATAAAATAAGATCCCCTATTGATCAATATACATCATTATTATTCCAAGAATGTCTTGTGATGTTGCAATAAGCTTTTTTTTCAATTAGAGTCACCACAGTTCCAAATGCTTTGTCTCTTTATTGTCAGTCATACAGATATATATGTATCTATCAAATACAAAAAAGTCTTATGTAAAACATTTTTATCTCTGTCCTGTAAGAGAAATAAAACAAACCACTCTGAATAAATAACATTCAATAAATATGTCAATAAATAGTAAATATATCTTTGGAAAGTCTGGTAGATAGAGAGCTTGAAGGGGAAGAACAGTGTTCTCTCGGTAATGTGAGTTTATTACTAACTTACAGTAAGAGGTAAGAGAGAAACTTTGGGAAATACCCAAGAAAGCCCTTAAATATTAGCAGAGTGTGTAAAAAATAAAAACTGATTTGCTTAAAATAGAGCTCCATGTAAAGTTTTGACCACATCACTAAAGCTTGATTAAAGTTATCAAAGCTGTTTTTGTCTTTTTCTGTTTGGTCCTGATTTTCTGTTCAGCTTTGTTTTTTTTGTCTGTCTGTGTGCAGCACGTGTGTTGTCAGGGTAACAGTGCTTTTCAGTATTGAGTCATACATGTGTATTAGAAGCCAGCAGAAGGAAATCTCTTGCCAGCTTGGTGAGGTAAAGCTCGAGATCCCTCAGAATGATGTAACCCTCCACTCGCTGGTTCCAGACTGTTTTGGAGCCGGCCTCTGGGTTCAAGGGTGTTTGTACCGAAAGAGATGTCTGCCTCATCCAAGAGCTCTTCATGTAACTCATCTGGGGAAGACAGGAAAACAATTTTTTATCGCACTACTCTTGGTGTCACTTCCTCCCAAATCTTATACAGGGGATAATATGTTTGCAGATTTGAGACTGTGGCTACCTGACTGGTGACTTGGCTCATCAGGTCCCTCAGATCCAGCTGAATGTGCCTGATGCTCTGAGGTAAAGTGGTGCGCACCGCCATGTGCTCCTTCTCCTGGTTCTCCAGCTGTTGTCTCTTCCACTCCAGCTTATTCCAGTAGGCATGCATGTCCCTGAGAGCAGCATGCAGCCGTTCCCAGTCCTGCACAGACAACACCAGACAATCAGATGGTTGCATAATCTAAATGTTGCACAAGCACTTTCTAAATGCTTGGTATTTTTAAAAAGGGGAATTCCACTTGAAATTTTACATTCTGCAACAGCAGACATTCTGTCATTGTCGTCAGATTTTGGTTTCTTTCAACAATATGGAAAAAATAGTCTCAAAATAGTTGAAGACAATTTCCAGGGGTCATAGAATTGTCCCCTCTGTGTAAATTGTGGCCCCTAACTTACATCAGTTACTACTATTATTAGATTTTTTACGGAACTGTTTTGAAACACAGGCAGATACTAACCGTCAGCTTTATCCATTTGTAGAAATCTGTAGAAAGCAGTGGCAGGTCCTTTAGCTGTCGGCTTCTGTCCTCAAAATGCTTATTTCCCAACTGCTGCTCCTTCTATTAAAGTAAACAGAGTTGTGGTGAGAGAAAGTTAATGCTGGATGTGTCCAAATTTGGCCAGGAATAAGGTGGCCAGTGTTTTTTTTTTCCAGTACTCACATATTTCTTCAGCAGATGCTGGACCCGGGTTCGGGCAGACCTCGTGAGGCGAAAGGAGTTGCTATATTTATTTCTCTGGGGGACTCGGGATGGATCAGAGTCCACGAAGCTCAGAACGCAACAAAGAAGGAGGAGAGCTTGCTTCCAAACAGTCATCTGAAACAAACAAGTGCTATTAGAATAAATGACCTGCCGTGTAACTTCCAACACAAGCTCCAGTGCTCTGGGTAAATATGCTGGTTCTCTTTTTGAGAACTTGACAGTCAATAGTATCTGAGAGGAACTTAATGAATATCTTTAACACTACAGTTAGCCTGGTTGTTCATTTATAGAAACTGTTGTCTTGATTCCTCTAAATAGTTTCAATGTGGAAGGAAGCACTTTTTTACCCCTGTGTCCTCTTTGTTTGTTGCTCTGCAGCCTGAAGTAAAAAGGGTTACGTTGCATCACATACAGTCATCACAGTCATCTTGATGAATCGACATGTTTCTCACCCAGCAAAGGCCTGACAGTGCTCTGTTATCATCTCACCCAATTATTAATAATAAAATCTCACCCACTTCCACACAAAAAATCATGATCACAAGCACTGCAGCACATGAAACTTATTCCAGTAACAGTCTAACTCTCTGTGTTTTTTTTACATAACATTCAGAATTAACACACATTTTATAGTTATGAGGACACTTGTCATAATAAACTCGTTAGTCCCTTACCCTAACCTTAAAAAGACTAAACCTAACTAATTCTAGCCCTAATACTAGTCCCCATAATATTACTGTTTAAACTGATATAGGTCCCCACAACATCAGTTATATCTGGACACACACACTGGGGTCCAAAAGCATAAGTAGCATAAATAATCAAACCACCAAACTCATGTTTCTACTTGTCAGATGGGCTTACCTTGGAGGAGTAGTGAACACCAGTGTGAGCAGGACACATTAATGCTTGAGTTAAGCTCATTAACGGTATATATGTGTGATCTTTCTTTCGCTTTATGACAAACCAGGGTTTTTTTTTTACTTTTCTGTTTCTCTATCTCTCTCTGTTTTAGCGTTTAAGTGTCTTGTGGTGAGGAAGTGGTTTTACTCTCTTTAGCATATCTTAGTCACGCTACAAAGAAAATTGAAACTTTTTTGTTTTTGGCGTGTGTTTAATATTTTTATAGATCATGTGTATTCAAGATTACTATAGAACATTTAATATCACACAGATGAAATGACAGGCTGATGTTGGTTTTCTTCAAATAAAGATGATGTAGTAGTGTCAGTATGACAGCAATGGGAACCTTTATCTTCCTAACTATAAGTCACTTTTCAAAATTACTAGTTATATTTTACTGGTGCATCCTGTTTAGTTATACGTTCTCTTTAAGGGCGACACTATTACATACGGCAATGTACATGTATATTAATGTGCTCTGTCTCTGATAAATAAAAGTATGATTAAATGTAAGTCATTTATTCCCTGTGTTGTTCCTCCAGAGTTTTATTGATTAGTCATAGTAATCATGACAGCAAAGTGGTAAGCTCTTAAAAACTACTCAGATCTGAAACTATTTTCCAGAGGAAGTGAATTTAAGTGTTGACTTCATCTTAAGGGAAGTCTCATGATGCTGATGACTTATGAATCTCCCAAAACCAAAACAGAGAAAAGTGGGCTCCCCGTCATCTTCACTGACAAAACAAATGTGCTATAGCTGAACAAAAAAACTTCTTGACAGAACAAACTGATTTTCCTGTAAAGAATATTGCGCCAAGAGTAATAACACAATTTACGATAGTGACTTTTAAAGATGTGCATTTCTTTTAATTCCATTTTCTATTTGACTGTGTTAAATCTGTTTATTTCCCCCCAAATCTTAGCTTTAGCCATCTAATTTTAAAAGCCCAAAACTGAAGACACTTTAATACAACTCCTAACCCCTGGTCTGAATATTTCTATTTCTTGTGTATGAATCCACTGAGAATCATTTCTGATGTCTTGACTTTTTTCTATTTTTTTATTTATTTGCTGCCTAGTGTGAAGCTCTTCATGAAGATGATACTGTCATTTCTTTATCAATGCTGCATGAAAAGTTATTATTATTAAGTCATCACTACGAAATCACAAATCTCATTCTCCCATTCCAAGGCCAAGCCGTGATGTTAATCAGGCGCTGAATGTTATTCAGGCGCTGAATGTTATTCTTATTTTAAAGTGGTATATATTTATTGTTTACCCACATGTTCTGAGTGAAAAACTCTCTCTTCTAGAAAACAGCACAATAATGACAGGGTTGATAATTATATGGGAGTTCAATCCCAACCAAAGATGAATTCAATGAGACCCAAATGGAAAGATAACTAACTTTCTATGGAATTATAACTGGTTGGTATTCTGCAGTCTTGTTGAAAACCAAACAAAATACTGAAATAAATGAGTCTTTAATTCATTGATGTTTGAACTCAGGAGACATTTAGACTCAAAGAAGTCTTCACATTTAAAATTTGTTTGATTCTACTCAAATCAAATACGAATGTCTTGGGCCACAATTGACTTTTAGAATAATCTAATGGGATCAGTTGTGCCAGCTCACGCTCAGAATGGTCTACAAAGAAACTTCATGAACTGAATAAAACATAAAGAAGAATAATACCCATCCATCCATTAGCTATAGCAGGGTCCAGGATGGGTGACAGGGTACACCCACCCTGGATGGGTCACCAGTCTGTCACAGGGCCAGAGACAAAAAAAACATTCACACCAACATTCAGCTGCATGTCTCTGGACGTTGGGATGAAGCCGAGAAAACTCACACAGACACAAGAAGAACTTGCACATTTTTCAGAAAGACCCTGAAACTTCTTGCTGCCAACCACCTAATAGGCCTATAAATATTGTTATCACCATAGCAGCTATGAAATTCTGTCCTGAATCAAACTAAACCTTCACCAAACAAGCAACATGTTATGGAATGACACATTTGTAGAACAGTTAAATTTATAAAAAGAGCAGGTTAATCAATGATACAACTTTTGGGAATTAAAAAAAGGTTAGACAACTAGAGAAAGACAACATCACTTATAGAAAGATTAGGGTGATTTCATTTCTTTGAATTTACCAGGTTTGTCATAAAACATGTTATAGTCACTTCAAGAAAAAACGCTTGAGTCTTGGATGGAGTGACCTCAGTGAATTCTGAGAGGAGCCTTGCAATTAGTTTCAAAATAAAAATTTTTTTTAAATCCTTGAAAATTCCTTGGCAATAGAAAAACTAACCACCGGTGGTTTCAACTTACCTCTTTGTGGTGTACCAGTTTCATTTTGGCATAGCGGTGACAGCAGCAGAGTTTGCTGTACTTTTACTTCTTTGTACTGTTCTTATGCACAGCTGAGGCCATAGGTTGCAACTGTTACTTTGTTAAAGAGGGTTCAAAGCTCATTTGTCTGCCAACCAGTCTCTGATTTACAGTTTATTACTTACAGATAACATGAAAAACATGTATGACCAACTGAATTCAATTTACCCACATAACGTGCTACTTTTCCCTACAGTGTTGACAATGATAGTAGGCCTATTGAATTTTATCAAGAGTCAATATAAAAATGTTAAGTATTATGTATATTTACAGTGTTTGTAAGGCACTCTGTATAGGTTATAAATGAATACTCTAAATCTGATTTCTTTTCTTGAATCATTTAAGTATTTATTATAATTACATTTTTAAGATATTTCAATGAACTAATATCAGATTCTCTCTAGGCTAATAAGATGTTGAATGGGAGACAGGTAGGCCTACAGTTTCATCTTCTTCAGCGTCTCAATTTGTCAGTGATTATTTAACTGCAGTTATCGTGTCTTTATTGTTTTACTGTGATGTTGTTATTACTCCTGCCAAGGAGGTAATATATTTTCATTGCTGTTTGTCAGTCGGATTACTTGAAAGTAAAGCAGGGCATGACCCAAGGAAGAAACTGTTACACTTTGGAGGGGATCCCGAATCATTTATCTCATTTTTTAACATGGTATATATATATCATATAAGATATTAAACTGCAGGTCACTGGGAGAGCCACGATTCATAAAATGTCAAGTTTGACTTCCTCCAATAGGAGAAAATGCTGAGTGCACCCAGAGCAAGCATGATGTGGTTGCATAAAGAGAAGGGCTTCCCTCGTTTTTTCAAAACCTCCCCTTCCTAATTCCCCCTCACGCAATTTGTTAAATTTCCCTTGTAAGGCAAAACTTACTTTCAGTCTATTTTCTGGCTTGTTTGTGGTTTCAGGCATCCCTTTTAGTTTTGTTGAGCATTTCCTTCCAATTTTGACACTTGGAACAGCATCTATTGCTGTAATGAGAAAAACCAGTTCTCAAATTCCACTTATTGTAAATGAACAATCATGTGAGTCATGCACACACACACACACACACAC